AAGGATCAAAAACCCAGCAAATCGTACAATATTAATTTAACAAATTGAATTTGGCGTATACATCACATCACGGTTGCAGAAAATCCAAAACCAGCTAGAAATGCGAATGAGTAAACAATAATACCTTTTGTACTGCATGGTCAAAGTCTTCCAAAGCTCCATGCTCCCTTTCAAAGCGCAACCATCCATGGCATATATCCTGGAAGATTGTCCTTCTTAGGAAATAATATCGTTGTATAGAAATTGCACACGGATACTTAGGCATACGGTGCATGCATATTTCAAGTTGCCACCTTCATAGATGGTTTCTCTACACCCTTATCAATAATAGACTGCCGTTTTTGGTGCAAGTTAAGCCAAATATCCCTACATTAATAATAACACAAAAGAGTAACACATAAAAAGAAAGGGAATAGAGTGCATACTTCTGAGCCAGTCCCATCAAACTTTCTTGTATAGCACCTCCGGTAAATAGACCTAGCTTCCTTTACATGTCCCAAGCGCACTTCCATATCAATGTATGCCTGCCAGGCTGCTAGCATCCCACCACTGGAGAGAAGGAAGTAACATAAATCATAATGGACCAGCTTGCCTTATTCTGACAAGTGACAAGTGATGTAATCTACCTGTATTATTTAAAGTTCAAATCTATAATAAATCATATATAAAGCATATAGCTTGTAAAACCTCTTTTTCAGAAAGCTATCCCAAACGCCTCTTGCTCCAGCTAGATCTTTTCCAATATTTAGTTCCAGGTTAGCCCAATAAGCATGTAAACGCACCAAACCGTCTGTATTTTGCATCTGGGGCGTTAGATAATCTGATGCTTGCTGACATGAAAGAAACATAAAGTTAGTTCAAGTGATGCAGAAGAGGTCCAAATCGTAAGAAAAGCTAAACACAATAGCCTCTCAAATGGAAAAATGAAACTAACTAAAAGAACTGAGAACATGCAAAGATCATGAAAGATGGGACAGGAATGAGGATATTATTGATGGTAGAAGCATCATACAAACCTGAAAAGTTTCTCTTATCAGAGAATAATCCAAAGTCTCTACCATCGAAGTTGATAGCATTCTCCTTCTCAGGCCATCTACTCGAGTGAGGTATAATTCCAGGTACTGATGAGGAACATCTCATATAATTACGTTGGATAGAGTGAATAGATACATGCTAGAAAATAGATAAGAAAATCATGGAAGTAAAAGTGTACCTCCTCAAAAGAGGAAAATGTGCACTGCAATGACTTCTCAAAGACCTGTACGAAACAATTTGAAGAATAGGATATTTCTCAGCATAACTTTCTGAAAATCTCATTGCATAACGCATGAGATATGGTTAGAGGAAGTTAACAGGGATAAATGAATGTTGGGGCGAGTATTCTTTCCTTTCTAATATTTATTTTGTTTTTTAATTTAAGCAGCTGAGACTTACAGCATAAATATCTTTTTCAGATGCAGAACCACGCTCTAAAGCAAGTAAATAACGAGTCCAAAGATCTCCAGTCCAAGGGCAACTTCTAGTCGCCCTAGAATAGGCATGCGTTATAGCTTTCCCAACCTGCGCAGGAAGTTCATAGTACAAATAAAGAAAAAAATGTTAGAGAAAACAATATAGAACTGAGAAGACTGATAAAAGATGCCATAACGAAGGTATAACGAGAGATGAATAACCTTCAAAGTTTTATCAAGATAGCTTGTGTAGTCTATCCACAAGTCACTTGAAACCGGGAATTCAGCCACAGCACGTTCATATATAACTTGAACTCGGGTAGGATCTCCAGACGTCTGCTCAAACTTGATGTAACTCTACAGCAAGAAAAATACAGTCATCAGATTTTCAAATAGACGAGTCTCTGGATTCAAATCCTTCACGTAATATGATAGAGATGGTAAGCATATTACAATTCAACTTGCACACAGTATATAGACCAATATCAACTGCACAATAAGCCATACGCACCATGAATTGCTGAAACTTTTCCGTGTCTGTTAAATCTTTCTTAGATATGTTTTCTTCAAGATGAGCACGCTCACTATACATCTGTTGTGCCTTCTTGTTTGCCACAGCAACCTGGGGAGAAACCTTACTCAAATCATCGGATCCAATATCAAGGTCAGTGCCCTGTTCCAACTCCCAAGCCTTATATGTAGTAAGGGTGGAGCTCAAATCTTTCAGCGGAACAGACAGGTGACGGTGAAATATGCTTCGAATCCTTTGTATCTGTTTATCCCTTTCCTGTAAAATAAAACGAGTTCTTACTAGATACCAAGAACTATAAGGTATAAACAAATGTAACTTTATTAAAAAATTGTTCTCCGTTTCTATACTCAGTTCATAGAGGAATCTTCCTAAGACACAGACCTCGCTAATATGCTGCTAGACTGCAGTGAATAAAACGTAAATGAACAAAATCAAGAAAATAAATCCCACCTCAAGGTCAGCCTTGTCAATAGTGTCTAAGATCCCTTGCTCGAATTCTCTATATCCTTCCCATATTCTATTACCTTCGGTAACATGGAATCCCGCAGCCGGAATAGCACGTTCAAAAAGACTCCTCATTTTTGAGATACCATCAGTTGTATATCCATGAACGGATGGATCAAATTCTCGCAAAAAGTTCAGGTAGTCACACCAAAGAGACACAGACTGCATACAAGAACAAATAGCAGCTTTTTAATCCAATGCAGGAAATGAATTGTAAGTCGAAAAATAGAGCATAAAGCCTCAAAAGGCAGGCAGATCTTCCCATCCCACAAGTACTCACGAGTCACTACTTTATAACAAGTAGAAGAAGAAAATCAAATGCTAATCTATACAAAATTAAGCTTTGGAGACTATAAGAGAACTAAAATTCGATATAGCAAGTTAGCAACCCAGAGTATATCTACAGCCAATCTATCTAACAAAGCCCTTTTACAGAAATGATAATGATACATATGCTCTTCCAAAGCCTAAGTTCCAGATGTTGTTTGCAGTACAGAAGAGAACATACCTGATAATCAGAAAGTCCCCGTTCGTAAAGCTTCACAATTTCAGGCACATTATCACTGCAGCCATGAACCGTAAAACAAAGAACGATTAAAGCAAAGCAAAGCAAGTGAAGCGTAATAGATCATTTCAAATCCAAAGAAGAGCAGATACTATCTCACCTAGAGGCTAAAGAAGCTTCATCCCTCGCCCATTCAAGCCACAAAGAAGGACTCAACGGAAACATAGCACTCATAGCTTCCCTCGCTTGCCTCAGCTTCTCAAGGTTCGCTGTCTTCCTCAGCAGCTTTATATACTGAAACAAGATTGCAAAAAACGTTAGGTCATGAGAATCTCAGAAATACATTTTTGTAGCAAAGAGGAAGGCGAAGAGAGAGTAATTATTACTTGGACATAAGCATCGTAGTTGTAAGGATTGGCGGAGAGCTCCGACTCTAGGGTTTCAATCTGTTGATTCGACTCGGCTTCATCCTCTGAATCGGAATCGGAATCGCCGGAATCATCGGATGAGGGTGGAGCAGTTTGGGCAGGGGTAGGATTTTCGGTTGAAGCTTCTTCCATCTTCTGATCGCTGCTTGTGAGTAGCTCAGTATCATCCATCTTCTAAATTTTCCGAGCTGTGCTATTTAGGTTTAGGGTTTTAAAACTTGCGGTTTTCTTTTGCTCTCAGAGTCTCAGTTACAGTGGCTGACGAACTCCTCCGTCTTCGAGGGTGAAGTAACCAGATCAATTTAAAAGCTAGCTGAACCGGTCCAGTTAAGTTTCAGTAAACCAGTTGGTCAACTTTGACCTCAAAATTGAGATTCTTGAGCCCTTTATAGGCCCATAAATAGCCTTGTTTATGAAAATTTATTGGTCTAGGTTGGTTTAGGGTAGACCAAATTGGAACTCAATTCTCGGAGTCGGTTAATCCATATCGACGGGTCAATTGAGTTGCCATTCTAAACCGATATACTAATCACTCAACTGAACCTACTTTGGTGTTGATATGGGCTAGTGAAAAAGGTAAGAAATGCTCTGAGACCAACTCGGTTTATCAGCAACCGACCGGTCCTTTCCAATTTCTCAAAATAAGCCAATTAGAGTACAGTACTAAGTGTGTGTTCTTTTAAAACAAAAGATTGACATGCCCACCGGTACGGATATTAAATTTTACATTTTTAGAAATTAATATATTTTTTTTATAATTTAAGTTATATATTTTATATGTGTCATCATATAATTAATTGAAATTTTCTTAAGTCATATATATTAAAACTGAACCTGAATTAAATCGAATAATATGATTAATTTTAGTTATTTGATTATTTTTAGTTTGAATTCAAAATATCGGAATCGAATTGGTTAATATGATGATTTTTGATAAAAATAACATGTTTTGGATACATTAATTTTTTGGATATTTTAAAATTTTCATACATTAAAACCAATACATGCAAGATAATAAATGAAATTATTACAATAAATAAAATTATAATTTAGAAAATAGGATAAATGAAATAATTATTTAGAAAAGACAGTAAAATAATTAAAATTAATTTAAATGAAATGAAAATCTAGAAAAACATTTAAAATAATAAGTATTGTTTTATACTTATGTTTTAATAAAATAGGAAATAAAATAAGAACCAAGTGAACCCATAACTTGAAAATTGAATCCAAGATTATTACTTATATACTAAAGATTTGAATGAGAAAGTAACAAGAGTTGTGTTACAGAAAAAAAAAAAAAAGTAACAAGAGTTACATAGGGGGGTGTTACATGTGTGCTATATGCATGTGATACCCAAACTTTTATTTTTGGTAATCGATACCCCCAAACATTTGGCAGACAAGTGCACATGCCACAGCGTTAAAAACGCTAATTACGATCTCCACCAGCTGTAATATATTATATACATATCTTGACAGATTTATAATGGCACACACCATCGCTAGAGTCCATCTATTATCACAAAACAGGTCAAGAAGAAACAGAGAACACAAGCATGAGTAGTGGCTATTCCAAAATGGATTCAACAGATCACAAACCCGACCCGGTCTCTCCCCTGACGCAGAAACCAGATCCGGAACCTGCTGAGATCAAACCGAGGCTGAGCAGGAACAGGTCAGTTGCTGCATCAGAGCATCCGTTTCACTCACCGATGAAGCCTGCTGTGTCTATGATGAGAAGATCTTCCTCTGTGAGCTCTGCCACCACGTGGCCTCTTCCTTCCAACGAAGGAGATGATAAAGAGAATGCGCATGAGAAGAAGAAGATCAAGAAAAAAACATTCGTTAAAGCTTGTAAGCGATTCTTTGGGATCTCTTAAGTGTTTTTCCTCTCTCTAGTCTCTGTCTACCATATAATATAGATCTGAATGTTATTTCCCATTACTGTCTTCTCGCTCTTTATGAAACGTTTTAATACAAGAACATGTTCCTTATAATTGTTATCGACTGTTTTGAAAATTAGATCAGTGATTTTGACGTATTTTTCTTTATGGATCGATGATCTTAATTCACAGACTATTGATCATGAAACCTAATGAAGTTTTCTTGTATTGACAATTGAATCTCTTGATTGAACAATATTAACATTATGTTGAGGGACGCACAATGAATTGGTCTAGTGGTTAAAATATTTGGAATATTTATCAGATATTCCTTCAACTTTCGTTAGAAAAATAATTATTCTTTTGAACTACGTTACATGATTTGAGTTTCACTTTAGAAAAGATGTAATAGGAGATGTACATACTCCTTACTTCTCAATTATTAAAATATATTTAAAAATATGGAATATATTCGTAATACAAAACCGACACATGAGTCATGAGTCATGACCCACTGTGTTTCGTAAGTTTGAATCCATCGAAACAAGATGAAAATCTGTTTAAAGATGAAGATGGATAAATTGAATATTATTTATTTGGAAGATGAAGGTTACTCTTGACTCCAAGATTGTCCTCTACTCTAAAACCCGACCAAGAATCGTCGAGCCCAATGCACTAGCACATGTAGTTCAGTTTTGTTTTGTTTTCTAATTTGAAAATTAATGTTTTCATCATTGTTTAAGGAGAAGTAATGTTTTGAGTAACTACAATTGATATAAGATAAGAAAAACTTGTCAGGAATATCGATAACTCGGGTAGCAAATTTGAAGTCCACATGACATGCTACAAATCCAGTGCCATAATGCTAAATTCTTACCACATGTCTAGTCATGAGCCTTTTCTTTCCATTGCTTCATTGCTTCTTGATATTTAGTGAAACTTGTATATTCTTTGATGATTTTCACAACATTACCTTAGTTAGATTTCTTGACTTGTTCCATGGAGTCGGAGACCAACATCCTTCGTGACTAAGTTGTCTTCCCATTTAGATTCTGATTTCATATTCAGCGCGCTTACTCAACTTTGTGATCTGATCTTTTAATCTTCCATTGCTTTTAGTAGTCATACAAGTATATTCTCATTACAAAATGCATAATCACTATTTCCGACAAACTCTGTACCACATAGATTTGTAATGATGATCAGTGATCATTTTCTCAAAAGCTAATTTGCATCACAAAAGTGAATGGTAAAAACTACACATCTTATGAGATTATGTGGAGATGATATTGTGGCTAAAGTGACGCGTCGGATTTGAGAACATATGATAAGAAGAGAAGTGTGTGGGCTTTGTGAAATGTGTCTCGATGTTTCTAGGACAGAAACTTGAAACTGATAACAAAAAAAAAAACAAAACAGACTTGTGGAGGAATCCAACGGCCTACGAAAGCCCATCCATTTTCATTACATACTTTCTGGAAACTTCAACTTGGCCCCGCACTTGTCTCCACCTTCCTCTCTTATCTTCTATATCTTCCCTTCCTTCATTCCTTAGGGTTTATCGTCGAAATTTTCTAGCTAAATTCTCTTTGTTAACTCCGTCGTCACTGTTATACTCTCTTACTAACCTCAAAAAATGGCTTCCTCCGCCGCTCAAATTCACGTTCTCGCCGGAATTGGATTCACCACCTCATCCTCTAAGAAGCATCTCAATGGTAAAAGCAGTTTCATGCCAAGAAGCGCCTTCTTCGGGACTAGAAATAGTCCTTTCTCTACCTCCGCCTTCCTAAGAAGTAGAAACGGCTCCACCTCTAGGTACGCCGTAGGTCCTGTACGAGTAGTCAACGAGAAAGTTGTCGGTATCGATTTGGGAACCACTAACTCAGCCGTAGCTGCGATGGAAGGAGGGAAGCCAACTATTGTGACAAACGCTGAAGGTCAGAGAACGACTCCTTCTGTAGTGGCTTATACCAAGAGCGGTGACAGGCTCGTAGGGCAGATTGCGAAGAGGCAAGCTGTTGTTAACCCCGAGAACACTTTCTTCTCGGTGAAGAGGTTTATTGGGAGGAGGATGAATGAGGTAGCTGAGGAGTCTAAGCAGGTTTCTTATAGAGTTGTTAAGGATGAGAATGGGAATGTTAAGCTTGAGTGTCCTGCAATTGGTAAACAGTTTGCTGCTGAGGAGATTTCAGCTCAGGTATTTGAAGTTTTTACTTTTTTTTTGGTGTGTGTGTGTGTGTTGTTGGTTTTCTTATGGGGGTTTGTGTGTTGTAGGTTTTGAGGAAACTTGTTGATGATGCGTCGAGGTTCTTGAATGATAAGGTGACCAAGGCTGTTATCACTGTGCCTGCTTACTTTAATGACTCGCAGAGGACAGCTACTAAAGATGCTGGGCGTATTGCTGGGCTTGATGTTCTTCGTATTATTAATGAGCCTACTGCTGCTTCTTTGGCTTATGGGTTTGAAAGGAAAAGTAATGAGACCATTCTTGTTTTTGATCTTGGTGGTGGTACCTTTGATGTCTCAGGTACTCACTCCACTTTAAGTAATGAGAAATTTGTTTTTACTGTTTTTGATGTATTAATATGTATCTTGTTGTGCAGTGCTTGAGGTTGGTGATGGTGTGTTTGAAGTGCTTTCTACTTCTGGCGACACACATTTGGGTGGAGATGACTTTGATAAGGTTAGTCAAATGCAAACAATAATCTGAGTGTTCTTTCCTTTGAATCAGTTTACTCTTCTGTGCTTTATCTGACCGATTTGAGTTTTGCAATGCAGAGAGTTGTTGATTGGCTCGCTTCAAACTTCAAGAAAGACGAAGGCATTGATCTTTTGAAAGATAAGCAAGCACTTCAGAGGTTGACAGAGGCAGCCGAGAAAGCCAAGATTGAACTCTCCTCTCTGACTCAGACAAATATGAGGTACCGTTAATTTTCTTCCCCAAGTTTACGAGACCTACTTGTTAGTACTTTCTCAGACATGTGGATTCTGATAAATATTTTGATTCTTTGCCCAGCTTGCCATTCATCACCGCCACAGCTGATGGACCGAAACACATAGAAACCACCCTGACACGTGCCAAGTTTGAAGAATTGTGTTCAGATTTACTTGATAGGTAATTTTTGTTAGAGTTCTTATGACACGTCAACAGGTTCTATGTACTAATTCAATAGCTTTTGATTAATTATGAGGCTTAAGAATCTTCCCCTTGTCTTTGTCTTATAGGTGTAAGACTCCAGTTGAGAATTCCCTGAGAGATGCAAAGCTCAGCTTCAGTGATATTGACGAAGTGATCCTTGTTGGTGGATCCACACGTATTCCTGCTGTTCAGGAAGTCGTCAGGAAGCTGACTGGGAAAGAGCCTAATGTCACAGTAAATCCTGATGAGGTTGTGGCTCTAGGTGCTGCTGTCCAGGTGTGTTCTCGTTAACTTGTAGTTTTATCTCTGTTTACTGCGATGAGTTCTCACTAAGTGCCATATTTTTCTTGTCTCTAGGCTGGTGTTCTTGCTGGTGATGTGAGTGACATAGTGCTTCTCGATGTGACACCGCTTTCAATCGGTTTAGAAACCCTCGGAGGCGTCATGACTAAGATCATTCCAAGGAACACTACATTGCCTACTTCTAAATCAGAAGTCTTTTCAACCGCTGCTGATGGACAGACAAGTGTTGAGATTAATGTGCTGCAGGGTGAGAGAGAGTTTGTTAAGGACAACAAGTCTCTCGGCAGCTTCCGTCTAGATGGTATTCCACCAGCGCCACGTGGAGTTCCACAAATCGAAGTCAAATTTGACATTGACGCCAATGGAATCCTCTCCGTCAGTGCTAGTGACAAAGGCACTGGAAAGAAACAAGACATTACCATTACTGGTGCCAGTACATTGCCCAAGGATGAGGTGCGTTCACTTTTTTTTTTAATACTGAGTTGCTATCTCCATGGTGATTATAGAGTGATATGTTTTTACTATATGTTCATGGTAACAAATTGGGTGTGTGGATGAACGTTACAGGTAGACCAAATGGTCCAAGAAGCAGAAAGGTTTGCAAAGGATGACAAGGAGAAGAGAGACGCCATTGACACGAAGAACCAGGCGGACTCAGTTGTGTACCAGACGGAAAAACAACTTAAAGAACTCGGAGAGAAAATTCCAGGTGAAGTGAAAGAGAAGGTGGAGGCCAAGCTACAAGAGCTTAAAGACAAGATTGCAAGTGGAACGACACAAGAGATCAAGGACACCATGGCTGCTCTCAACCAAGAAGTAATGCAGATCGGTCAGTCTATGTACAACCAGCCTGGAGCTGGAGCTGCAGGAGCAGGTCCTTCCCCTGGTGGTGAAGATGCTTCATCAGCAGATTCATCAAGTAAAGATGGAGATGATGTGATCGATGCTGACTTCACTGACAGCAAATGAGAAGTTTTGAGTTCATATATCGCATGATTTTGTTGGTTGGTTGGGTCGAGACGCCCATGGATTGAAGCTGTTCTTGTGAAAGAAAACGAATATTTGTCGTTAGAAAGCAATGTTGTTACTGAAGCTGTCCAATACATAATAGCATGTTTCAGTCTTCTCTCTTTCAGATGCTTCAACGGACTTATGAGGCTATACATAACTTACAGAAATGCAAATCTTATGATGTTGCTACTTGCTATCATACCAATCTCAAAAGAGATATACCTTAGAGATCAATGTTGAGACATGTCTCTTTGGTTCAAAACCATTTCATCTTCCGATGAAGTGAAGTAGAGTCATGAATTCATGATATTGCTCAAGTGATAGCCCACGGCAGCTCAAGTGATAGCCCACGGCAGCATACATATCGCAGTCAATCCCATCCATGTTAACACATCATAAGGAATCTGATTGCCATTGCAGATTTGCTTTATTATAACGTTTGGTCGACACCAGTTTGAATGTTTTTATTTTCCAAAATGAGCATTCTGAACCTTGACGTTCCAGCTTAAGAGGTAAATAAGTTTATTTTTGGGCATTTACTTGTATCATAAATATCTTGGTGACCAAGTTTCATAATACTTGTGTTCTCTCCTCTGTATATATATATTCTCGAGCCTTTGTATCACAATGAAGACGAAGAGACTGTTAAGTAATCATTTTCTTCTTTTATCTTTGACAGCTTCTCATCAAACCATTCCTCTTCATCTCTTGACTACAAAACTCAGGAAAATGTCTTCCTCCGCCGCTCAGATTAACGTTCTCGGTGGAATCGGATTCGCTGCTTATTCATCTTCCAAGAGGAATCTCAATGTTAAAGGCACTTTCATGACAAGAAGCGGCACTAGAAACGGTCCTTTTACTACCCCTTTCCTGAGAATGAATATCAGATCACATGACTGCGGTCCCGTGCGAGTGTTCATCAGCGAGAAGGTTGTGGGAATCGATTTGGGTACGACTAACTCAGCAGTAGCAGCCATGGAAAGAGGAGAGCCTACTATTGTGACCAACGCTGAAGGTCAGAGGACGACTTCGTCCGTGGTGGCACACTAAGAGCGGTGATAGGTTTGTGGGGCAGAGTGCGAAGAGACAAGCTGTTGTTAACCCCGAGAACACTTTCTTCTCTGTGAAGAGGTTTATTGGTAGGACGATGGAGGAGGTAGACAAGGAACCTAAGCAGGTTTCTCATAGAGTTATTGAGGATGAGAAGGGGAACGTCAAGCTTGAGTGTCCTGCTATTGGCAAACAGTTTGCTGCTGAGGAAATCTCAGTTCAGGTATCCAAAAAGTTTTGAGACTCTTTACTATCGTTTACGTTTGTTGAAAGCGAGTTTGGTTTCTTGCTTTTTTTTTTATGTGTGTGTGTGTTGTAGGTTTTGAGGAAGCTTGTGGATGATGCGTCGAGATTCTTTGACGAGAAAGTGAGCAAGGCTGTTGTCACGGTGCCTGCTTACTTCAACGACTCACAGAGGACAGCTACTAAAGATGCTGGTCACATTGCTGGGTTGGGTGTTCTTCGTATTATCAATGAGCCCACTGCTGCTTGTTTGGCTTATGGTTTTGAAATGAAAAGCAACCAAACAATTCTTGTCTTTGATCTTGGTGGTGGTACTTTTGATGTCTCAGGTTGCTAAGATTCTCTAATATATATATTTTGGGTTTCTACGGAGTTGTTGTATTAACATCTGGTGATATGTATTTTGTTGTGCAGTTCTTGAAGTTGATGAAGGTGTGCGGGTGATACACATTTGGGTGGCGAGGTTAGAGCTAGACAACACATGACGAAGTCCCTTGTCAAAACAAAAACAAAAACAAAAACAAAAACAAAAAAAAAAGTGATTTTGAATCACACATAATTTTTTTGCAGCAAATCGCAAATGCAGAGAGTTGTAGATTGGCTTGCTTCAAAACTCAAGAAAAATAAAGACATTTTATGAAGAAAAACTTTGTCCATAGAGGTAATTAGCCCCATAATGCTACATTTTGCATTTGAAGTGTCCATATTATTTTACTCGTAGTTGATGTCGTATGTATTCTTCAACAGGTTAAGATGCATCAAGCAGCGGTGTTCGAAACACTAGAGGGCTTTCAGGTCTGCCTCTCTACTCTCTTTAGAACATTTATGTCTCACATTTGAAACTTAGTACAAAGGTGTTCTAAACATCGTTTCAACACATGAGATTAATTCTTTAAATGCCCTTGAAGATGAAACTTAAACGAAGAGTGTAGAAATTTATAAGAGTTCATGTTTTCTCCTACATTTGACTATCTGATTGCTAAGTTTCCTCCAATAAGAGTCTAGGCAGCTTGAGAGTTTGATCAAAATTCCACTTGATGTCATAAAATTGCAGGTGGAGAACGGTCTTTCTCGACTCTAGGCTTTACATTATCACTTCACGATATGACTGAGGCTCCAATTCGAGCAATGGACGAGTTTGATGTGTTTATGGTAATCTCCACATCTCTCTTTTTTCATATGCTTTTAGGCAAAGTGATTAAACGTCTAAAAAGAGAGAGTGGTTTTGTGCTAAAACGGGAACACACTTTGAGAGGGTTGTGAACGGCGTCGTACAGAAGGGAGGAACGGCGTCGTTTTGTGCTAAACATTTGAGAGGATGAAACACGACGTCGTTTAGCACAAAACGCGCTGCTTTTTAAAAAATATCTCAGAATCAAACAGATCCAAAGGCTACTATTAATAAAGTCCAGCGCGTGTGTGTTTTCACGCGCTTGTGCGACTGGGCAACTTTAAAACGTAAATTTGAGTGATTAAATTTAGTTTTTTCCAAAAAAAAAATTTGTACCCATAATTAGTTTGTTAAAATCTATTAGTTGAAAACTGTATTTATAAGTTTTGAACGTTTTGAAGTTTTTAAAAATGTTGATCTAGGAAGGACCAAACTATTTTTCTTTTAACTGACGTCATGTTGTTTTTTGTGTATCAGTAGAAACTACGTGCTGTTTTAAGATATCTTTGACATCGTGATGTTTAGTGCATTCCAATAGAAATATGAGCCCACTGCTGCTTGTTTGGCTTATGGTTTTGAAAGGAAAAGCAGAGAAACAATTCTTGTCTCTGATCTTGGTGGTGGTACTTTTGATATCTCAGGTAACTAACCGTTCCTAATATTCTCCAATATTTTTTTTTTTGGGTTTCTACGGACTTGTTGTATTAACATCTGGTGATATGTATTTTGTTGTTGTGCAGTTCTTGAAATTGATGAAGGTGTGTTTCAAGTGCTTTCCACTTCTGGTGATACACATTTGGGTGGCGATGACTTTGACAAGGTTAGAGCTAAACCACACATAATAAATAAAGAAATGTGATTTTGAATCACACATAATTTTTTGGCAACAAATTGCAAAATGCAGAGAGTTGTAGATTGGCTTGCTTCAAAACTAAAGAAAAAGAAAGGCATTATTAATCTTTTGAAAGACAAGCAAGCACTTCAGAGGTTAACAGAGGGAGCGGAAAAAGCCAAGATTGAGCTTTCCTCCCTCATTCAAACAAATATTAGGTAGGTACCATTAATTTTCTAGCCCAGTCTTCTTCTTTTTTTCCCTTAGTAATCTCACAAGCGTTTTTGGATACTCCTTTGTCCAGCTTGTCATTTATCACGGCCACAGCTAGTGGACCTAAACACATAGAAACTACCCTCACACTTGCCAAGTTTGAAGAATTGTGCTCAGATTTACTTGACAGGTAGGTAGATTTTACTTAAACAGTTCTTAGGATAAGTCAACAGATTTACTTGACAGGTAATTTTAGTTAACTGGAGGTCGTCTGAGATTCTTCAATCTTATAGGTGTAAGGCTCCCGTAGAGAATTCAATGAGGGATGCAATGCTGAGGTTCAAAGATATTGATGAAGTGATCCTTGTTGGTGGATCCACACGTATTCCTGCTGTTCAGGAGGTAGTCAGGAAGATGACTGGGAAAGAACCCAACCTCGCTGTGAATCCTGATGAGGTTGTGGCTCTAGGTGCTGCTGTCCAGGTTTGTTTATATGTTAAAAAAAAAAAAAAAAGAACAAGTTCAGTTATCTTAGGTCTTAAAGCCATATATATATTTTTTATACCATGCAGGCTAAGTGTTCTGGCTGGCGATGTGAGTGACATCGTCCTGCTTGACGTGACACCACTTTCCCTTGGTACGGATAGTTTTGGAGATTGTTGCAGAAAGTGTAATTCCGAAAGAAACAGCAGAGGAAAGAATGAGAGAGGAGGTCAGGTCTTACATGAGTTGCATAGAAGGCATGGGATGTCATGTTCGGTACCTCCTGGAGATTTTATGTCTAAGATTATTCCAAGGCATTCTACACTGCCTGCTTCTAAATCAGAAGTCTTTACGACTGTTACTGATGGTCAGACAAGTGTTGAGATCAATGTGCTACAGGGTGAGAGGGAGTTTGCTAGAGATAACAAGTCTCTTGGCAGTTTCGTTCTAGATGGTATTCCACCTGCACCACGTGGAGTTCCAAACATCGACGTCAAATTTGACATTGATGCCAATGGAATACTCTCCGTCACTGCTACTGACAGAGGCACCGGTAATAAACAAGAGATTACCATTACTGGTGCCACTACTTTGCCCAAAGATGAGGTGCGTACAATTATAAGGTCAATTCTAGAGGTTTTTTATGAGATGGCATCTAAATGTGTACGTTAACTAGAAGCGTTGTTACCTGCTAATGATTAGTGTGGGAGTGGCACTATGTCCATGATATAGTAGTAGCCTTTTGTTTAGGGAAAAACGTTTTTCATTTTGGCTAATAGTTTTGATGGTTATGGTTAACAAAAGTTGGGTGTGAATCAACAACGTGAGAGAAAATTACAGGTGAAGAAGTGAAAGAGGTGGAGGCTAGACTTCAAGAGCTTATGGACAAGATTGGAAGTGGATCGACTCAACTCAAGATATCAAGGACTCCATGGCTGCTCTTAACCAACAAGTGATGCAGATTGGTCATTCTATGTACAACCAAGCTGGAGCTGGTCCTTCTCTCCTGGAGGTGAATGTGCTTCATCAGCAGCAGATTCATCGTCAAGCAAAGGTGGTGATGATGCGATGGATGCTGACTTCACAGACAGTAAATGAGAAAAAGACACACACATGATTTTGTAGGTTGGTATTATGGGTTGATTTGAGCAATGCTTTTGAAAATAATTTATTTTGGATTATAAAGAAGCAATGTTTATTACAGGGAATATTTTCGACCTATCTAAAGGTAAAAAGAAAAGAAGAGGAATAAATAAAAACAGAGGACTTACCATATCTTGAAGAAGAGTTATTAGGTCATTTATGGGGGGTCTTAGTGATATCTTTATAAATATCTTGTGGAACTTGGTGATCAAGTTTCAAACTTATTTCTTCTCTCCTCTGTATATATATATATATTCTCGAGCTTTTGTATCACACAAAGAAAGAAGACAAAAGAGATCGATAAGAGTGTAATATCTACTACAGAATTCGAAAAATGTCTTCTGCTCAGATTAACGTTCTCGGTGGAATTGGATTCGCTACTACTAGTTCATCTTCCAAGAGGAATCTCATTGGTAAAGGCTATTTTATGCCAAGAAGCAGCGCCTTCTTCGCCATTAGAAACGGTACTTTCACTACCCTATCCTATAGCAGACATGGCTGTCCGGTGAGAGTGTTCAACGAGAAGGTTGTGGGAATCGATTTGGGTACTACTAACTCAGCTGTAGCTGTCATGGAAGGAGGGAAGCCCATGATTGTGACGAACTCTGAAGGTCAGAGGACTACTCCATCCGTGGTGGCTTACACTAAGAGCGGTGACAGGCTTGTTGGGCAAATTGCGAAGAGACAAGCAGTTGTTAATCCAGAGAACACTTTCTTCTCGGTAAAGAGGTTTATTGGTAGGAGGATGAACGAAGTTGCTGAAGAGTTTAAGCAGGTTTCTTATAGAGTTGTTAAGGATGAGAACGGAAACGTCAAGCTTGAGTGCCCTGCAATTGGCAAACAGTTTGCAGCTGAGGAGATTTCAGCTCAGGTAATCCAAAGTTTTGACTCTCTTGTGTTATATCATTGTAATTGATCGTTTGTTTGTTGAAAGTGTCTATAGGTTTTGAGGAAACTTGTGGATGATGCGTCGAGATTTTTGAACGAAAAAGTGACAAAGGCTGTTATCACTGTGCCTGCTTACTTCAACGACTCACAGAGGATAGCTACTAAAGATGCTGGCCGCATAGCTGGGCTTGATGTTCTTCGTATTATCAATGAGCCTACTGCTGCTTCTTTAGCTTATGGTTTTGAAAAGAAAAGCAACGAAACAATTCTTGTTGTTGATCTTGGTGGTGGTACCTTTGATGTCTCTCGTAAGATTCTCTAGAATATATAAATTTTTGCTTTATCGTTGTGTTTAAAATCTGGTAATATAGTATTTATTCTCTTTTTATTGTGTAGTTCTTGAGGTTGATGAAGGTGTATTTCAAGTGCTTTCCACTTCTGTTGACTCACATTTGGGTGGCAATGACTTCGACAAGGTTAGTTAAATAATTTCACATATATATGTTTGAATCCGGTGCTTGATGGATTTGCAAAATGCATGCAGAGAATTGTAGATTGGCTTGCTTCAAAATTCAAGAAAAGCAAAGGCGTCGATCTTTTGAAAGACAAACAAGCACTTCAGAGGTTGACAGAGGCAGCAGAAAAAGCTAAGATTGAGCTTTCCTCCCTGACTCAAACAAAGATTAGGTAGGTACCATTTTAATTAATTAAATTTTCTTGCACAGACAGATATGTGGATTCTGATAAATATTTTGATTCTTTGCCCAGCTTGCCATTTATCACATTCACAGCTAATGGACCGAAAGACCTAGAAACCACCCTCACACGTGCCAAGTTTGAAGAGTTGTGTTCAGATTTACTTGACAGGTAATTTTTACTTCATTATGACAAGTCCAACATATGTTGCTCCTAAAATCCTTATCATGTTTCTGTTTTGTAGGTGTAAGACTCCCGTTGAGAATTCACTAAAGGATGCAATGCTGAGCTTCAGTGATATTGACGAGGTGATCCTCGTTGGTGGATCCACACGTATCCCTGCTGTTCAGGAGGTAATCAGGAAGCTGACTGGGAAAGAACCTAACCTCACTGTGAATCCTGATGAGGTTGTGGCTCTAGGCGCTGCTGTCCAGGCCGGTGTTCTTGCTGGTGATGTGAGTAACATTGTTCTTCTTGACGTGACACCTCTGTCGCTTGGTACAGATGTTAAAGGAGATGTTATGTCTAAGATCATTCCAAGGAACTCTACACTTCCTACTTGTAAATCAAAGGTCTACACGACTGTTAATGATAGACAGGCACGTGTTGAGATTATGGTGCTGCAGGGTGAGAGGGAGTGCGTTAAGGATAACAAGTGTCTCGGTAGTTGGATTCTAGATGGTATTCCACCAGCACCACGTGGAGTTCCAAAAATCGACGTTAAATTCGATATTGATGCAAATGGTATCCTCTCCGTCACTGCTACTGAAAGAGCTTCCGGAAATAAACAAGAGTTTACCATTACTGGTGCCACTACTTTGCCCAAAGATGAGGTACAAATCAAAACTAACATTCCTTGTGTTTTTACCAACTCGGTTTACTTATAGGCATGGCCCGTCCAACTTAAAAAAAAACAAAGTCCTACTCTAAACTACAAATTTATGCTCTTGTTCTTCATAATTTTTTTATCATGCCCCATAAACATATAAAATTGTTGTATAAAATTGGGATGCCCTAAGCGATCCGTCCCTTTGTCTATGCCCCGACCGGGCCTGCTTATAGGTCAGGTTTTCTAAATTGTACGTTAACTGTAAGCAATATGATTAACATGTGTGGCTATATGTCCATGATCTAGTAGTAGTCTTTGTTTAAAAAAAAATGTTTTGAACGTGTTACACAGGTAGAGAAAATGGTGAAAGAGGCAGAAAGATTTGCGAAAGATGACGAAGTGAAGAGGGAAGCACTTGACACAAAGAACAAGGCGGATTCTGTTGTATACCAAACAGAGAAGCAACTTAAAATGTTTGGAGAGAAAATTCCAGGTGAAGTGAAAGAGAAGGTAGAGGCTAAGCTACAAGAGCTTAAAGACAAGATTGCAAGTGGATCGATCCAAGAGATCAAGGACTCTATTGCTGCTGTTAACCAAGAAGTGATGCAGATCGGTCTGTCTATGTACAAGTACAATAGGTTGATTTGAGCAAAATATTGCTTGTGATGATAAATTTATTTTTGGGGTTAGAGAGATTCTACGTTATTACAGAGAATATTTTCAACCTATATAATAATTGATGTTGCAGTAACAATGAGTTAGTGCCATATTCTTTTTATTTTGTGCTTTTGGCTGGAGATGTGAGTGACATTTATGTAGATATGTGACACCGTTTTCCCTTGGTGGTGTAACGACTAATATGTATTCCATGGAACACAACTCTGCCTACTCTAAAATCAAAAGTTTTTACGACATATTCTTATGGACAGCCATGTATTAAGAAGCACAACCACCTGCACCAAGTGGAATTCCAAAAATCCAAGTTTCATTTTGGGATTGATGCCAATGAAACTAAGTGCCGTTGACAAAGGCAAGGGAAACAAACAAAAGATCACCATCACTGGTTCCGATACATTGTACAAGGATGAGATGCGTACATTTCACAGCTTGGGAGTAAGACTATGTTACCAATGTTCAAACTTTTAGAGTTGAAATCAAAGCGTTTCTTCTTTCTACTTTCTAGCCCTGATGGATGTTCCATCTGTCTACAATACTATAAATCCAGTCAAAGCGCAAAGATCACCTAATTTTTACATAATTCAACTCTATAAAAAACTTCACAATATATATGTTTTATCAGTTCAAAGTTTACTTGCTACATATGATAGCTACAAGCCTACAACCATGACTGCAAATCATTCTACTAGTTATACCAAAATCAAGTCACACCTTTGATTATTCAAAAAGTTAAAACTAGATGGCTCAAAACGACTTGGTAATCTAAACAAAATCTTGAGCTAGTCGAGAAAATCTTTATCAAAATGTGGTAAGTTTTTTTTTTTTTTAATTCTATGTTGATAAATTGTAAACAAAGTAGTGAAACCTGTTAAGTAGTTTAAGGTTTCCCCACTTCCCAGATAAAAAAATGATGACATGATCTCTCTCGCCTTTGAGCAGATCTCTCGTTGGAATATGAGAAGTTTATAACATGAGTTCATAGTTTTGGGTGCTTTTTTACTAAAATTCCTTTACAACAAAACTAATAATTAAAGTTCCCACTTCCCAGCTAGCGAAGCATATAACAGGCTGTTAAACTAAGATTATAAATTAAAACTAAATTAGAAATATATTAACTTTTGTGATTAACTCTCTAAATCCATTTAACTATTGGCTTTTTTCTTTTCTATTTTATTATTATTGAATAGTAGAAACCAAAAACTCATCAATTTTTTTTTGTAGTAAATGATTTTGATGAGATAAATAGTAGCAACTAAAACGTAAAGAGAGAAAGATCAAAGACCACACACAATGACTTTGACTTTTCTTTGTCTTAAACCAAAACTTCGAACACTTCTGTTTTAATCTTTTTGTTTTGTAATTACTAAAGCTCTTTACCATCCAACTTGTTAATTTACTGCACAAGGTTTTCTTCTTCATCCCTTTCCTCCCAAATCTCTCTCTCCATCAACCATCTTTACACCAACCTCTAAAGATTCTTCTCAGCTTCGTTTTAGATCGTGTTCCTGACCTCTGTCCAAGACTTTTACTTGAGCTTCAACTTCTTCTATTCAAAGTACACACCTTTACTTTCTTCTTCTAATGATTTCAAGTTCATACAATTAAATTTCGCGCGTCTGTTGAATGATTTCGAGACATTTGGAGATGGTCGAGTTACGATATGTTCTATTATTGGCAATTATTACATCTCTTTTTATTTGGTCTGATTTTGACAAGTCTCTGTTCTGACCATAAATAGAATCTGTATTATGTCAACATCTCTCAGAAAAACCAAAGTGGCTTTTGATTGTTTTTGTATGTGTTGATTCTTAGCTTAATCCTCTTTCTTGTCTTTTTTTTTTTGGTTTAAAGAAGCGTTGATGGCACTTCGGCTTCCAACTTCTAAAGCAGCAGAGTTTGCGATAGGATCAATTGGTTGCGGTTATGATTTAGCTATTGATGTACGCTTGAAGTATTGTAAAGAATCACGGTTACTTGACATTCAAGACGGTGAAGACACTCGTGAGATTGTTTTACCTGGTGGAATCACTATCCCTAACGTTTCAAAGTCTATAAAATGTGATAAAGGAGAGCGCATGAGGTTTAGGTCGGATGTTCTTTCTTTCCAACAGGTATTAAAATGTCTCTACTTTATGTTGTTGTAGTTTCTGAGTTAAGAAAAGAGCACTCATATGTTGAAACCTCTAGCTAGTGATTTACATTTGATTTGTCTTTTTCTTGTGGTTTTGTAGATGACAGAGCAGTTCAACCAAGAACTATCTTTAGCTGGTAAAATCCCATCAGGACTCTTCAATGCCATGTTTGAATTCTCTGGCTGTTGGCAGAAAGATGCAGCCTACACCAAAAACCTTGCTTTTGATGGCATTTTCATCTCCTTTTACACCGTTGCTTTGGACAAATCTCAAATGTTGCTCCGTGAGCATGTTAAGCAGGCTGTCCCATCAACATGGGACCCCGCTGCATTGGCTAGGTGATGTATTATAATACTAACTTTATGTTTTTGGAGGGATTGGATTTGTAACTAACGTTTAATCAGATGTTTTTGTTAACCAGGTTTATAGATACTTATGGGACGCATATAATTGTTGGTGTTAAGATGGGAGGGAAAGATGTGATTTATGCAAAACAGCAACACTCGTCGAAACTTCAACCTGATGATCTACAGAAAAGGTTGAAAGAGGTGGCAGATAAGAGGTTTATAGAAGCTAGTGGAGTTCAGAATATAGCTTCAGATAGAATACATCCAACTAGTAAGGTCTGTGTAACATTCTTTACTACCATCAAAACTTTCTAATTTGACATCTTACAACTTTCAAGTCTGTGAAATCTTATCTCGTATCCCTTGTTACAGGTGGAAGCAAAGGAGCAACGCCTGAGATTTGCAGATACTAGTTCGCTAGGCTCTTATGCAAATAAAGAGGTGATTTCTATTTGGTACCATAATCTTTAACAGACATGTTTCTTTTTCATGTGAAATTGCTTTTCTCCTCATGAATTACATGTTTTCTTTGTAGGACATTGTCTTCATGTGCAAAAGGAGAGGTGGAAACGATAATAGAAATCTAACGCATAACGAATGGCTACAAACAGTTCAGAATGAGCCGGATGCTATCACCATGTCCTTAATTCCAATAACTTCTCTACTTAATGGATGTCCAGGAAGTGGATTCTTGAGCCACGCCATTAATCTCTATTTAAGATGTAAGCCTATAATATTACACACAACCAAAAAATGTTTATATGATAAGTAAAAACCCTATAAGCAGCTTATTAGATTCACTACTCAATAATTCTCGTGTTTATATTGATATGTTATTGTACTTGTTTCTGTAGATAAGCCACCGATCTCAGAGCTACATCAGTTCTTAGAGTTTCAGCTACCAAGGCAGTGGGCTCCAGTGTTTAGTGAACTTCCTCTTGGTCCTCAAAGAAAGCAACAAAGTTGTGCGTCTCTGCAGTTCAGTTTCTTCGGACCTAAGCTATTTGTAAACACCACTCTGGTATGAGTTTACTTCATCCCTAATTATCATACATAACATGTTCAGTTCTTGTTTAAATTCCTCAACTCCTAAGATGTTTGTGTCTGTTTCAGGTTGATGTTGGGAAGAGACCAATCACTGGCATGCGTCTCTACCTAGAAGGAAGAAGAAGCAACCGTTTAGCAATCCATCTGCAACACCTTTCCTCTCTCCCCAAAATATTCCAGCTCGAAGACGCTCCCAACACAATTATGCGGCATGAGTCTCATGACCGTCGATACTACGAGAAAGTAAACTGGAAGAACTACTCACACGTCTGCACATCACCCGTCGAATCAGAAGACGATCTCGCTGTAGTAACAGGTGCACAGTTTGTTGTAGAGAGCCACGGATTCAAGAACGTGCTCTTCCTGCGTCTTAGTTTCTCCAAAGTGGGACCGATGCTTGCCAAGAACTATGAATGGGATGAAGCAGTAGGGTTTGCTCCCAAGTCAGGACTCATCTCAACGCTAATAAGCCATCACTTCACCGCACCGCAGAAACAACCACCACCACGTCCTGCAGATGTGAATATAAACTCTGCTGTTTACCCTGGTGGACCACCAGTGCCTGTGCAAGCTCCCAAGCTTTTGAAGTTTGTGGATACGAGTGAGATGACGAGAGGACCGCAAGAGTCACCAGGGTATTGGGTTGTGTCTGGTGCGAGGTTGTTGGTGGAGAAAGGGAAAATCTCGTTGAAGGTTAAGTATTCCTTGTTGACTGCTATAATGGAAGATGAAGTTATAGATGAAACTTATGAAGGTTGAGAGAGAGATGGTATGGTGGTTGTGTTGTGTGTACATTTATAATTTGTAATGCGTGTGTGTATGAGAGGGATAGGAGGATTCAATGTCTTGTACATTTCTTGTCTTGAAGAAGCATGTTACACACTATAATGATTCTCCACTTAAAAATCTTATAAACATGAGAAGTCGTGTTCATTGATATAACATATAGTTTATAACTTTTTATATGTATTATCAGTTGATCTACTGGGTTTTTCGGGTAATTTCTAATAATATTGGTTAAAAAGTCGTATAATTCAGGTTTTTCAAGTTAAATATTATGTAGTTGAATCCGGATAGAATTTCGGATAATTTTTAGTAATTTGAATTAAAATTATTTTTAGTAATTTGGATTCGGATATTTTAATTTATAAATAATATTTTAGGATATTTGGCCATAGAAAATTAAATATAATTGATATTTTTAAATATGTAATCTGTATATTTTTAGGTTTTCGGTTCAATTCGGTTTTCTGATTCTAGAGTACATGATCATGCGGTTATTTATGAAATTTTATTTCGGTTGCAGAAACTCTGTTATTTTGGTTTTCTTCGGTTCGATTTTTCGGTTCAAGCCTTGTTGTGTTCATGGATGTAAAATATAGTTAACTTATCATTTGGTTCACTCTTAAACTGTCTCTTGCGCGAGTTACCAAAGTAAAGTCAATACTACTTGCACGTAAAGAAGTACATGACGTTGTAATAGATTGGAGGGACAAGTAACAAGAAAGAGACTTGGAATATAATAATCAACTTTGAAACGCGTTTGACATTTCTAATTCTGGTAGGCGTAGAATAATATAAGAAATACGAGACCAGCTCTCTCGCCTCTCATGACTTCTCAACACACATTGATCACGTCAACAAAACCATTTTTCAACACCATAATATCCTCACGTTGTCTTAAACTTACTCTGTATATAATATGCTCATAATCATTCATTAACTCTCCACACAAACAAGAAACAAAGATAGAAAAAAAAATGTCATCTTCTTCTTCCCTAACGCAGAGAAACCCAACTATTTCGCAAGAGCCTGAAGAGTCTCCTCCACAGCTAACGAGACAACGTTCGATATCACAACATGCCATGTCACAAACACTAACATCAGTTGCAAACTTAGCCAATCTCCTTCCGACAGGAACACTCTTAGCTTTCCAGTTCCTCATCCCTATCTTCACATCAAACGGTTCATGCGAATACTCCACGCGCGTTTTAACCGCAGGGCTCTTAACGCTCCTCTCCATCTCATGCTTCCTCAGCTCGTTCACGGACAGCGTCAAGGCTGAAGACGGTAACGTCTACTACGGGTTTGCAACTCGTAAAGGTATGTGGGTTTTTGACTACCCTGACCCGTCCGGTTCGGGTTTACCTGATCTAAGCAAATACAGGATCCGGTTCGTTGACTGGATACACGCAGTTTTGTCTGTGCTTGTGTTTGGTGCGGTGGCTTTGAGAGAGAAGAATGCTGTGAGCTGTTTTTATCCAGCGCCTGAGCAAGGGACCAAGAAGGTTTTGGATATTGTTCCGATGGGTGTTGGTGTTATCTGCGGTTTGTTATTTTTGGTTTTCCCGGCGAGAAGACACGGTATTGGGTATCCCGTCACCGGAAACGGACGTCGCCGTTAGATTCGTTATTATTTTATTATTTACCGAGTTACGTATAAACAAATTGATTCGTTCAAAAGTGGTTGACTTATATTCTTTTCTGTAATCATTTCGTGTTTGTATCTATCTGTATGTTCCTTCTCATCTACTTCCTGTAATTGATTAGAAGTTTTAGTTTGGTCGTTCGTTGAGTTGAAATAAAAATGAAATAACGTAAGCAACCACCTTATAATGAATCTGACGACGCAATATATATAAAGAGTACATGGTTGTTACAAACCAATGTTGACTATGTGATGATTAGCTGTTTTGTAAATCAAAACTTTGACTGCTTCTCTTAGCATAGTCCTGTTTCTTTGCTCTCCCTGATCTGCTCATAAGATAAAGATACCTATGTCTCATCCCCATCAACGGATGCTTCTCAATCAAAAACTCTTTATGATAACCTTCCCTCAACACAACAGTCTGCGTCCTAATCTTATGCGACATATAAAAAATACCCGGATGATGCACCAAAGCCTTCTTAAACCTCGTCCCAAACCCTAAATACTCCCCTAAACAAACCACATTCTCCGTCTCAGTCTTCTTCGACACCAAAAGGTACAGAAGCTCATGAAGCACCGCAACATCCCACTTCTCAGCCTGATCGCTCCTCGACCCTAAATGAAACGCGTTTTCGTAAGGAGAGATGTACGGAAGGCTCTGCCACTGCTCCACCCAGTTTTTAACTCTTTTCTCCAACTCGTACCCTTTGGGGAAATTCATCGAATACCTTATGCGCAACCCCTTTTTCACGTTAGACCCATTGATGAAACCTTCTCTTCTCTCCATTTCCGATACGGCGAGGCTCTTCCGCGGCGAAGTAAGCGACAAAGCGAGAGTCTTTCCTCCGGAACCGTTAACCTCCGTTACTTCAAAGTAATCAGGGTAATCACATAACAACGAAGTAACGTAATCGTGAGGAAGACCTAAATCAAACCCGAAACGATCAACGACGTAAAGAGGGAGACTTTCAGCTCCGGTTAGCATCAAGAACTTAGCCAGACGTTGAACGGCGGCGTTACGGTGAAGCGGAGAGAGGTGGATAGTCTCTTCTTCCTTGTGGAGGTCCAGAGCTTGAGGAGTGAGGCGGACGTGGAGAGGGAGAGAGCGTGAAGGCTGGTAAGTTGTGAAGACGGAAGGGTATTTCTGGAGAAACGACGCGGCGGTTACGTGGAGGTTGAGGAGAGGTTTGAGGAGGGAGAGGGAAGAGAGAGGGAGTGATTTGGAGGGAGATGAGATGATTCGGTCTTTTAAGGAGAGAAGTTGTTTGAGGTTTTTCTCTCGTTGGACTGCTTCGTCGAGGTATGGGTCGCCGACCCATTTGACTCTGGCGTTGATGAAGGTTCGTCTTTGTTGTAGACATCTCCCTAGCTTGGTGGTTGTGGCTGCCATTAGAGCTCTCAGTGCAAAGTTTCTGTAAAGTTTTCGCCTTTTTTGTTGTCGTGTCGATGTTCAGTAAGTCAAGAGAAGACTTTTGTCATTCATGCTTCAATTGTAACACTTTTTTGGTTGATTGCAATGTCTAAGTGAGAATAAAGGAGATTACTTTCAATGAACCAAGAAACTAGGTCTTTGAGGATTATCAAAAGCACCAGCGTCGGTGTCACTATAAGGGAAACTGTAAGGTTCATGGAAGTAAAAAGAAAGGTCTAATCGAAAGTACTAAAAAGAGGGATAAAATAGCTGTTCCAATGGCAGACATGAGATTGTGACTTTTGAGAGAGATGTCCCTATCATTGAGTGTGTTTAGTGGCCACGGCTCATCTTAACTTTTGGCATTGACTTCTTCATCTGGCGTGCACGTTCTTTAGCCTCTCTCTTCCTTAGAGCTTCAGCGCTAAGCTTTGCCTCTGCCTCTTCCTTCTTCTCGGCTTTCTTTCTCTGTAATGCCTCTTGTCTCACATTCTCTAGTTCCTTGTACGCTTCCTGAGCCGCCTTTTGCCTTGCACCATCCGTTTTGTTCCGTGCCTGCCATACAGGAGTTTAATTTTTATGTATCTTGTCACACACGGTGGGAGAAAATGGGAAGTGATAATAAGTTTGCAACTGTACCTGAGGGCTGAGCTTGTAGCGTCCAATTAAGTCAATGTAATACGGAATAAGGGCTACCAAGCGAACCATATCATCCATGTGTTTAGCATCAGGTAGGGCGAACTTGAATAGCAGCATCTTCCTGTGTTTGCCAGGAAGTTGGTCCGAAAAATGCATTGAAATGAAGTACTTTCCAAACTTTTGGAACGACTTGTCACCAAAAACCTACAGGGCGCAATTGCATCATCCAAATTTGATTAGAATACCAGATTATTTGTGTAGATACAAAAGCAACAATTTAACAAGCAACGATCAACAATCCAAATCCAACAGAACTGAGATCCATTTCCACATCAACAGAAGAGGAATTGAAATATTTTTTATCCCATCTATACAACAAGGAAACATTAGCCATACAACAGTAACAGACTAACAACATTGGTTAATTGCCATGCATGCATACTTGCTACAATTTGAAAAGTGATTAAAGATCCGAGATAAACACAGTAAGAGAGAGGAACATAATAACTACCATCAGGCATAAATATACCCTAACAAGAGGAACCTTAAGAGATTTTCATTCAAATCACAAGTCTAGACCCTGTATCTCTGTTATAATAGGACAGAGACAAACTCGATTGGATTCACACGCCAAAAAGAAGTGATGTATGGTTCACACTTCATAGAAAGTCTCTGTCTTTCTATCAGAAACACACCACAAAAGGCGGAACGTTAAGTGACAAAGTCACCAATGAAATGTAGCAAAAACCTTGTAACTCTCTAATACTTATGCTGAAGACCAAGAAGAACTAAACTAAACTAAACTAAACAAAAGTGCTATCACTATCAACTGTCAAACAAGAAGAGCACACAAGAGAGATTAAGCAACAAACCTGATCAAGCACAACATCAGTAATCATATCACCAGCAACCTCCTTAGACTCAGACACCACAGCCAACTCCTCCGCCACCCACTTCCTCCCACCAGGCACCCCCACCATCCCACCAAACCTCTGCAAATCCCTCAACTCCTTAAACATCCCTTTCGCAACCTTCTTCCTCGCCATCGCAAACACAACATGATCCATCACCTCCTCATTCATATAAACCTCGAAACTAATCTCATCTCTACAAGGCACCACACAATTAAACAACCTCGAGATCAAATCATGCCTACTCTTAAGCTCCAACGTCGCCAACAACCCATGACAAAACCTACGCCCGCTAGCATAAAACTTAAACACGTTCGTCGCTTCTTTAAGCAACAAAGGAGAGTCCTCTCCTTCACCGACTCCTAAAAAGCTGAAGTTTTTCTCAAAGATTGTGTCTTTGAGACCGAACTTGGTGGCCCAGGAGAGAGCGAGGCTCTCGTTCTCGCGTTTCCCCGTGAAGTAGTTGATTAAGTAAGCGATTAAGATCGATACGGAGACGATCTCCACCGTGAATGACGATATCGTCTTCTTCTTTATCGGAGTGTCGTCAAGGTCGGGACTTTCTGGATCCGGATCTGGAGTTGGTTGATCGACGGGAGATGAGATCACCGGAGGAGATGATGATGATGGTTCGTCTTCTGGTAAGCCTTCGAACTCGTCTTCGTCCCAGAAATCGAAGGAGGGGGTCTTCTTGGGAGGGTCCGATTTGGAATCGGGTTCGGAGGATGGTTTTGGATCTGGGGGAGGAGTTGATTGAGATTGGGTGAGGAGAGGGGGAGGGAGAGAGTGGTGGAGATCAGTGGAGTCATCGGAGAGGTCGTCGTCTTCCGCGTCGAAGCCTTCGAAGTGAGAAGAAGATGCGAGGGTGTGGTGGAGGAAGAGGAAAGCGATGAGAGCGATGGAGAAGAAGGAGAGGTGATGGAGATTCATTGTTGGATCTGGAAAGAGAACTCAACTCCGGAAAAAAAAGAGGCTAAAGCTTTGTTAAGTAGCTGAAAAAATAAGAGTTTAGTAGAGTCGTGCTTGCCTGCTTCTGCACCAGATCTTTACTTTTTTTTTTTTGCCAGAAAAATAAATAAATCAAAATGTTTATGAAAATGAAAAACTAAATATAAAAGTTGAGAAATACATTTGTAGCACAGAAAGAAATACATTAAAAAGTCCTAAATTTACAAAGTTATCAATTACAAGTTTAAAACAAATAAATATAAGTAGGTGTCAGTAGACTACTGATACTCTCTTGTGATTTAGTGGGTATTTATATCAGTTTTAAGTTTGATTTTTTCTATGAAACTAAATTATAGACTGTTTCACCAGTTTGAATATAAGTTTCAGTACAAGTGGTTTATTTGGTACATCATAATAGACGATTGATCCATTCCATATTATTAGTTAGAAAGTATTTCAAACTTGATCATATATAGTATGATACATTTTTAGGATAATCCATTCTATAGTACTAAATGTGTTCTCTTGACTGTGTTTATAAAAAAAATAGAAAAAAAATAGAAAACATTCAAGGAACTATGAATCATATGCAAGTTAAATCGTGGAATGCAAATATGCAAAAGAATGGAAAATTAAAGTTGTAAGCTCCACACAATGTCTTTAATCAACTATAGTAAGCCTATAGAAACATCAATCCACCCATGAGTTAAGTACTACCACTAACTACTCTTAAGTGTAATCTACTCACGAAGTACAATGGAACCTGCAAAAATATTGAGGATAAATATAAAGAAATCTCCTTAGTATCATGGAAAGGTTTTTATCTCCCTATTTAGAAGGTTTTAGACTTTTCGTACATAATCACTGTTCCAAAAGTGCAGAGTTAGAATTTTCAAGCAGCTCATAAGTTGTCCATTCCATAAAGACCAACAGTTCTTATTTTTTCTAGTGACAAAAAGACCAACTATTGCATAATAGAAGCTGGTAAACCGAACTAATTAAGCTAACACTAAACCATTTCTTTTGTTTGCTTGTATTTCATTATACGTAAGAGAAACTATTTACGTTGGAGTCATCATACCTGACAGATTCCATTCATTTCATGTGTTAAATGTATATTCCTAACTATACTTTCTTGACAAAAACAAGTAAATAACTTAAATATTTTTTATCAAGTTAAAAACTAAATAAGGGATTTATAATTCTATAGCCATTGTCTCGTTACCTCTTTTGTTTTAAGAAAAAAAAAAATCTTTAGCAAAATAGTAATTACAATCACAACCGAACACTGATCACAATCAATATATAGCAAAAGCACACTAATCCTTTATTAGATGTGAATTTTTTTTATGCAGCATAAGTATAAATCGAATCTATACTATTAAAGCTGAAGTACAAAAATAAAGTGTTTGGAAACATGAATAAGAAAATTTTAAAAGTTTGATTGGAAACATGGATATCATACAAATTTGATGGGCTTATTTATTATACTAAAGATTATTGCGACCCAAGGTACCATTATCATTGTTTTTGGATTTCCCATCAATGATATTACTTTACTTCTAAAAATTATTTATACATATATGTATTCATGTTTTAAATGTATTTAGAACAAATCAAGAATAATATATATTTTATTTATATAATTTATATTGACTATTCTTATAAGTTTTTAACAGTAATATACTAGCCTTCCAATTCTTCATTAAAAAATTAAATTAAAAATTTGACTAAATTATTTAATGTATATAACTTTACACCAAATTTAGTCAAAAAACTTTATAAAATATTACTAAAATGTTTACGGGTCACAATATTTTAAGACGCCCTGTTACACAATACAATAATGAAATACAATATTTAAACAATATACTATTACTTAGTAAAATTGGCACCATTAAATTGTAATTTTGAAATGTTATATATACCATAAAAACAAAGATCCGCCCAGTCGGGCGGGTTATGATCTAGTATTAGTTACAAACAAAGTTTTAAACGCGGCTTAGGAGCTACACGGTTGTGTGCGTTCATGTTTTGCAATAGTTTAGGCAGTTGAAAAAGGCTAATTGAATGTAAAAAAAGAGGACTAATTGCATGAGAAATATAATGAAACCACTCTTTTTTTTTGATCAAATATGAAACCCCTTTTAATGGCCATTTTTCAAGAGACTGGACTCCCTTTTCATTGTTATTTTTGTTTACAACAAAAACAAATTGAAGATATTTTTTTTACAATTTATAACTATATTATTGGTATTTTAGAAACGTGCAGCCGTCCACATTTATATATATATATATAATATACAAAGATCACGACTAGTTGATTGACACGAAACGGGAATCACGAGGAAGAAGAAACGGGAATTATACTAGTTTATGCTCATGTGAGCCTCGTAGATGGTTTGACTTGGATGCTAATATAAACATGAGCTGGGGATTTTGGATCTCAAAACTTACCACCAATCAAATGGCTTCTCTGGACCACACTCTCTGTCTTCTCTTCATCATCTCTTCCTTACACGTTTTGCCTTCTTCAGCCACACCTTTAAACAAACTAAAAACCGCCACTGCCATCCGTCAAGTCAACCGCAGAGGACCTTACATCGGTCTCGTGACGGTCTTTGAGACTGAAGAAAATGCTTTCCTTGGAAGTGTTGATTTCAGACCCGACCCAGCTCATCCATTCTTGGATCTCTCTGGTATGTACTTATATTCTTAGCTTAATAACTGCCACTTCTTGAATCGATACCAGCTTTTCACGTTTTATATGTTGATAGAGTCTTTTGTTTCGGGTCAATGGATGCAAGTCACTTTGAGATGTGTAAATGTAAATAAGTTTTCTGACTTTTTGAGAACATGAATGCAGGAAGACGTTTTCGGATAGGGAAGATTCATGGAAAGAAGGTTGTGTATGTCAGATGTGGGATAGGAATGGTGAGTAACCAAATATAATCTATAGTACAATTTAAAAAAGGTTCTTTTGTTGTTTTCTAACTATTTTTTGCCAACTGTTGTTTTCTTACATAACAGACTAAACAGGCTGGCTATGCGTAATAATATTTCTTTCTCTATAACACAAACTATTGTAGTTATTTAAACTACTACAATAATTATTTTGGACAATTTTTTTTTTAAACAGTTGTCAATGTAGGTAAAACTAATAAATATTGTATCAAGTCAATGATAGTATATTAAATAAGTGTGAGAAAAGATGGGATATCATGTGAATTATTGGTTTTATTTAATATGTATATTAGTCTATATAATCTATTTTTGGTTCATATTATTAAGAAAAAAATGTGCAGGTAAACGCAGCAGCAGCAACACAACAAATGATAGATGTGTTCAACATGAAAGGGATTGTGCATTTTGGGATTGCAGGAAATATAAACAACTCAATGTCCATAGGAGACGTTAGCATTCCTAAGCAAATTACCAATGCTGGATTGTGGGATTGGCTGGTAAATATTAAAAGTTATAGTACTAGTTTGTTGATGATATATAATTTAAGTGGCTTCTCTGCATATGTATTAACTCATGATTTGGTTCTGAGTAAAACAGAATCAAGAAAAAGCAGAGGGAGATGAGTATGCAGCATACTTAGATTTTGGGAAGTATACTGTTCCGCAAGGGGATGGCAGCGACAGTATGTTAGGGAGTATTGGATACAGCTACGAGGAACTATATTCAGTCAGTATTGGTCACAAAAATTCACCTAAGAAAGTGTTTTGGATCAATACAACTCAAGAGTGGCTTCAACTTGCGGCTGGTCTAGAGGTTGTTAAAAATGAGTACATTGATTAAGACAAAAGAATAGTTCTAGACTGCTAATCCCAGGTTGTTGTTTATTATATGGATGCAGAAGATGGAGCTGTTGCAGTGTGTGAATGAAACTTTGTGCCTTCCGGAGAAACCAAAACTGGTTGTTGGATTAAAGGCAGCCACTGCTAATACATTTGTGGATAATGCAGCCTACAGAGATTTCTTATATGATACTTTTGGTGTTTCCTCCTCAGATATGGAGAGTTCTGCAGTGGCTATGGTAATTTATTCCCATACACTAACACACTTTTGAATCATTCATTTTTAGCTAATATATAGTTTCTCATGTTGTTTTTTTTGTTCTGTTCTGATTTTATTATTAACCAGACGTGCGTGTCAAATGGTTATCCCGTGATTGTAATAAGGGGATTATCTGATTTAGCTGGAGCACAGACAGGAGATAATGCTGTCCGGAAGTTTGGATCTTTGGCTGCCACTAACACTGCAAGAGCTGTTCTAGAATTCATCAAGAAGCTGCCACCAAACTACAACCTTAATTCTTACGTGTAATTCTGTTATCATAAATGAGTGATTTAATCTGTAATTTTCTTCTATCAAATAAGTGTTCACTATTCAGCTTTTCTTACGTCAAACACACTTAATCTCATTCTCAGCCTTGCAAAAACTTTTTTCAGTCAAAGACTGTCACTATATGTACATGTCTCTCTAGTTAATATCAGTGAACTGTTTACCTTCTAGAGGGTCAGATCCGATGCCTCAATCTTGACATTAATAATAACAGTGTGATACCATCAACTTTAGGAATTTTTCAACTAGAGTGGTCTTTCACAATATATATTTATATGTAAACCTTGAAAATTCATAAAATAGATACTGTATAAACATAATTTGTGTTCAAACTTTAAAATATTCAGTTTGATAAATCCTAAAAAGGATAATAAAATAAGAATTGTGATGTATATAACTTATGAGAACCCCAAATGTTTTTTGGTTAAAATTAAAAGAACCAAAATGTTATGATCAAATAAAAAATACGAAAAAATCAGTTAATAATGTAAATAAATAAATAAAAATTTATTCTCTATATATCGAAGTATGGGTGTTATTGAAAAAAGATCACCAAATCTATGTAAAAGAATATTTTGTTTATAAATTAATAGTTTTAGAAACCAAAATTTCATTATATGGATATCAAAAATTAGTGAGGGGATTTTAAATCCAATCTTGGATTCCGGAGAATAATTTGACTATTAATATCAAGCAACTTTTTTTTGACAAAGCAAACTCATTCATGCTATATATATGCTTCGTACATATGGATAACAAAGCCACCAATCAAATGGCATCACTGGACCACATTCTTCGTCTTCTTCCTCTGCTCTTCATCATCTCTTCTTTACACGTTTTGCCTTCTTCAGCCACCTCTTCAGACAAACTAAAAACCGTCACTACCATCCATAAAGTAAACCGTAAAGGACCTTACGTAGGTCTGGTGACGGTCATTGAGACAGAAGAAGATGCTTTCCTGGCCAGTGTTGAATTCAGACCGGATCCTACTCACCCGTTTATTGATCTCTCTGGTATCTATTTTAGCTTAATAGCTGCCACTTCTTGATTCGCTTTTTTCACGATTTATATGTTGAGAGAGTCTTTTTGTTTAGGGTCAAAAGAAGCTATAGTCTCTTTGAGATGTAAATGTGAATAAGTTTCTGACTTTGTGAGACAATTAAATGATTGCAGGTAGACGTTTTCGGATAGGAAAGATTCATGGAAAGAAGGTTATGTATGTCAGATGTGGGAGAGGAATGGTGAGTCACTATTAGTCTTTTATAGTAAGAAAAAAAGAGTCTATTTTGTTATTTGACCTATTGTTTTATACAAAAGAGGAAGGCTTTGATTGTTTCTATTTTTAGTATGGTTTGGCTTTCATTTTTTTTTTTTTTTGGATTTTAAAAGATCATTAAAAATTAATTACAAACACAAGGAACTGGAGTCTATGACATAAATCATATTATAAATAAATAACAACTTAACCATCTAATGATAGGAATATGTAGGGATAGAGATATAGTTTTTTTTTTCTTTTTTGTGTGTGTGCCAAAACCTACCATTTCTTTCTTTTTTTCTTCATTTTTTTCTCTTGCTTAGACATGTGATAATTAACAGAGATTTCAGTGTTTGATTCGAATATGAGATGTGACCTTATCAACAATATTATAAATATTCATTTACTTTTCAGTTCAATATAGCAGTATAGCACCACCAAGCTGATCAAATTTTTGGCATTTTATATTTGATGTAAGTTAAATTATATTAAAGTATGGCAAAAATATACATTACAAGTTTGAACCAAAAAGCCTAACTAATCGAAATCACCCGAATCTCTAACTAGGAAAAATCAGAACAAGCCAAATTATTGTTCGATTATATAACTTTTAAGAAATGGTGCTAGTCTACATTATAAAGAAAAAACAAAATGTGCAGGTGAACGCAGCAGCAGTAACACAACAAATGATAGACATGTTCGATGTGAAAGGGATTGTGCATTTTGGGATTGCAGGAAATATAAACAACTCAATGTCCATAGGGGACGTTAGCATTCCTAAGCAAATCACCAATGCTGGCTTGTGGGATTGGCTGGTATACAAAAATATACAAGTTTCATATGGATATAAAATTAATTACTTCTTCACATATATAGAGTCTAATCTCTAATGGTTGCATTCGAGTGAAACAGAATCCAGACAAAACAGAGGGAGGTGACGATGAAGCGTACTTAGATATTGGGAACTACAATGTTCCACAAAGAGATGGCAACAACAATATGTTAGGGAGTTTTAGATACGGTTACGAGCAACTGTATTCAGTCACTGGCCAGACAAATTCACCTCAGAAAGTGTATTGGATCAATACAACTCAAGAGTGGCTTCATCTTGCAGCTGATCTAGAGGTTTTTTCTTAGAAACAATATATTGATTAGAATAAAAAGAACGGTTCCAGTGTTAATCTTAGTTCCTTCTTATATTTACGGGTGCAGAAGATGGAGCTGTCGCAGTGTGTGAATGCAACTGTGTGCCTTCCAGAGAAACCAAAACTGGTTGTTGGATTAAAAGCAGCCACTGCTAACATATTTGTGGATAATGCAGTCTACAGAGACTTCTTATACGATACTTTTGAGGTTTCTTCCTCAGACATGGAGAGTTCTGCAGTGGCTATGGTAATGTATCCAGCGTTTCTCTCTATTCACTTTTTGAATCATTCATTATAGTTTTCTCATTTTGTTTGTTTTCTACTTTTGAAATTTACCAGACGTGCGTGTCAAATGGGTATCCTGTAATTGTGATAAGGGGACTATCAGATTTAGCAGGAGCACAAACAGGAACTAATGCTATTCGAAAATTTGGATCATTGGCTGCTGCTAACACTGCAAAAGCTGTTCTAGAGTTCATCAAGAAGCTACCTCCAAACTACAACTTTGATTCTTACGTGTAGCCCTAATTTATCATAATGAGTGATTATAATCTGTAATTTTCCATTAATCAAATATAAAGTATTCAGCATCTTACATGCAACACTTGTTAATCTCAGGCTTGCACAACTCAAACACACTCACACTAGAATCTAATCACATATCTCTAATTCGTCAATTTGAAACTCAACTTCTAGAGGGGCAAAGGCCAATCTCAATCCAATGCCTTAAGTCTGGATCAGATGAAAAGATTAAAATAATTTGATTACAAATCGAAGGATTAGAGTGAATGTGATACAAATTTTAACTCAATCTTGATAACAGTGTGAGTAAACGGGTGTATAATAACTTACAAGGAAGAGAAAAGTCGTTATAATTAGGGTTTCACATTTCTCGTTGAACCGTTTTCATCATCGTTATCAGAATACCGCTCGTCATCATCATCATCATCAGAAGGAGGAGAAGGATCGAGACGAGCAGCGTCTATCGCCCACTGTATCAGCTTCTCAACTTCATCATCTTCTCCGATTTCACCCGGAGGAAGAACAGAGGAGACCGCGGAGGAGGAGGAGGGAAGAGTAGTCTTCAGAGCAGCGAATCTGAGCATGAGATCGTCTGGCGTCTCCACAACATCCTTCGATTTCGGCGGAGAAATCGGCATCCGTTTCTGATCATTCGTCTCCGTCTTCTTCTTTTGCTGCGAAGGTTTAGATCTGAGGGCGAGGAATCTAGAGTGAAGATCCGGATCTAGGTAATCAGGTTTGGAGCGTGATGCATGAGAATCTACGGAGAGTTTGAGAATCATCTCGTCTTGTGCGGCTTGAAGTAACTGTTCAACTTCATCGTCTTCCTCCTTCCCTCTCCTCATCTCTGATTAATCTTCTTCTTCGATCGAATTTGATTTCTCTAGAGATTTAAATTCCGGTTTAAGAAACCGGTTTGATTTTACTAACCGACACCACCTAACTTGCGGGGGACAAGATGTCGTCGTTGCCCACGCGGGTTAGATTCCAAATTCCCGTGAGATGCGATTTAATCTCGACCGTTCGTTAGAAAATTCTGGTAGGCAATATTGTTTTGTAGCCGTCGATTTTAACCAACGATCGCCAACCAATCAGGTAAGCAACCTGATTTTTTTTTCCTGAAACATCATCGACATTTTTGGTTCTTTCCCATGTGCGTTAAATTAAAGGATTAGTATAAATCGGTCAAATGTGATCCACGAAAGAGAGAGAGAGACACACACACACAGAGCTTTATAAAAGAGAAGGCAAAGACAAAGAAAGAGAAACCAAACACAAAATTTAATTTTTTAAATTGTAAAAGAAATGGGAAGCGAAAGGACGATTGTGAGGAAGCCAAGGTTTCTATGTCTACATGGGTTCCGTACGAGCGGAGAGATAATGAAGATACAGCTTCACAAGTGGCCTAAATCTGTTATTGATCGACTCGATCTCGTGTTTCTCGACGCGCCTTTTCCTTGTCAAGGCAAATCTGATGTCGAAGGAATCTTCGATCCTCCTTATTACGAGTGGTTCCAGTTTAACAAGGTCTCCTCTCTTTTTTTTTATTCCTTTCTATTTATTCACGTTGAAGATTCGTGTAATTAATTAGTTTCAAAAAAAAATAAAGATTGTGTAATTTGACTGTTGGTCAAATTAAAATTCAGGAATTTACAGAGTATACGAATTTCGAGAAATGTTTGGAGTATTTAGAGGATAGTATGATCAAGCTTGGTCCTTTTGATGGTCTCATTGGCTTTTCTCAGGTAATCTCTCACACATTCAAAGTTGGTTCATTTCTCATCAACAGTCTGCCTTTTTTTTCCACTCATTGAAAAAGCTCAAGATTTTATTATGTTTCTATGTAAATTTTTGCAGGGGTCAATATTGTCTGGAGGTTTACCAGGATTGCAAGCTAAGGTGCGTTAAACAATGTTTGTGAATGCATTATTTGATAATATTAATCCTCATTATATTCGAATTTTCTTCGCAGGGAATAGCACTCCAGAAAGTACCAAAGATCAAGTTTATCATCATTATTGGAGGAGCTAAGTTCAAATCCACAAAGTTGATTGAGAATTCGTATTCCTCTATCATGGAGATTCCCTCCCTCCACTTTCTAGGTAAGTTGATTATCTACTGTAGTACATGTGGTTTGCAATTTTCAATCATAATGTGAAAATTGTTTTTTTTTTATAAATTGTGCAGGAGAGACTGATTTTTTGAGACCTTATGGAACTGAGCTGATAGACTCGTTCAAGAATCCGGTGGTTGTCCACCATCCCAAAGGCCATACCGTCCCAAGGCTTGATGAGAAGAGCTTAGAGAAAGTTACTGCATTCCTCGACACCATTGAGCATTTGCTGATGGAGGAAGTCAAGATTGGTGAAGATGACACTAGTGTCTAGTGAGGTAAACTAGAACACCTCACAGTGTAATGTATAACACCAATAATTCTTGTAGACAAAATAATCGTGAAAATTGCCTGTAACATCTCTCTTGATTGATTACATTTTATTACCCACCACCACACAAGATAATAATAAACGTCGCATTCTTTAGTTCTCACAATAATTCATGGTACAAAGACAAATACAAAAAGGAGGGGAGGAGTCATCAAAATCAAATGGTACTAAAAAAAACAATCATGCAGAAGCACTTACAAAGTTACAAACAACATTCTCTTCTTCTACTTCTCTAAGCTTACCTTGGCTGCTTCATAAAATTGTTACAAACTTTGGAGCATCCTTCCTTGGGCCATCAAGGGACCGATACATGTACAATGTCTCCACAAAATCTGCATTGTTGTTGTCATCATCATCGTCGTCATCAGACCCAAACACCTCCACCACTACACTAGGCAGAGCGCGAGCAAGATCCCTGCAGCTTCCAGGGGATAACTTACATGAGGACATCCATACAAACCTCATATTGTGATACCTATGCATACCAGAGCGCAGTCCAACATCCCCAAAGGGACTGTCCCTGATTTCAAGCTTCTCTAGTTTAGGACACCCCTCCAGGATATATCTCAGACCCATGTCACTGTCCCCTGCAAAAGCTACAGACAGCGTACGGATCAGTTTCCCATACTCTCCTATAAGGCTAAAAGCTTGGTCTGTTAGCAATCCAGATACTGCGAGCCGGGTTAGCTTCTTGCAGTTTTTGACAATGGCGCCGAATCCATCGTCCATTGGCTCCCCTGTAACGTGGTCAGGCCTGTGGCGACCCATTATGCAAAGCCTAAACACGGTAAGCTGAGGACAATTAAGAGACATGGCTGTGACAGCTGCATTAGTCATCCGCTGACAAAAGTAGAGGATGGATTCTAGTTTCTTACAACCCTCTGAAATGGCTTGGAGGCCTAATCCCGAGACAGGACCTTCGCTGTCTTCACTAGGATCGGAAGGGAAGACCCTAAGCTCACGGAGCTCCTTGCAAGTTGCAGCTACTGCCTGGAGCCCTTCATCGCATATAGAGTCAAGAGCCTGCATGAGTCATAAGATAAGATACGCATGTTCACTAACAATAATGATCACAAGACATTCAATGCAATAGTATAAATAAGGTGAGGTACCCATAGGACTTGGATATTGTGACAGTTGCTTATGATGGGGATGAACATGTCAGGAGAAATGTTAGCATAACTGAAGTTGAGAGAGGTGAGATTAGCACAAACTGGAGAGATAGCTGGGAGGTACTCTGCCGTCAAATCCCTGAATCCTGAGAGACAAACTAACGATGTACAAGCACGAAATGCAGATGTAAAATCCAGTGGTTGTTGTTCATCGTGTGTGCTGCTACTGAATGAGCCAGTCCCGAGACTCGTTAACTGCGGGGCTCGAAGCATCATTAGCCTATGAAGCTCTTCAAGGGAAACAAACCTGTTGGTTCNAGGTACTCTGCCGTCAAATCCCTGAATCCTGAGAGACAAACTAACGATGTACAAGCACGAAATGCAGATGTAAAATCCAGTGGTTGTTGTTCATCGTGTGTGCTGCTACTGAATGAGCCAGTCCCGAGACTCGTTAACTGCGGGGCTCGAAGCATCATTAGCCTATGAAGCTCTTCAAGGGAAACAAACCTGTTGGTTCTAAGCTTCTTCAAGAAGGGAGACCTAAGCACAAGCCCCTCCAAGGCCTTGAAATTGATAGGAGACTCCACACAGTCAAAACACAGAGACTCAAGATTGGTGGTTTCACCCTCAGGAAAACAAGAGATCCAATCCACCTCGTCATCCACCACTTCAGACTCGATCAGTTCAAGTACTCTCAGCTGTCTGAAACAAATCAATAAAAAAAAGATGTAAAACTTTACTTTACAAAACAAATCTATAGAGTGAAGTAGTTAACCTGCACTTGTTAGCAACAAGAGCGATACCACTAGTCCCAAAACCTTCACAGCAAAGCAAAGCAAGCTCCTTGAAACCAGGAAAGGACTCAGCGAGAAGAGCCAAGTCATCATCAGTAACAAACATCCGTTTCAAACAAACTTTCTCAAGCCAAGGGTAAGCCTTTGCTGCTTCAACAACCCAAGGAGTGAACTTAGCTCCCCAATCACGAGGCATCAGGTTGAAATCAGCAAACCTCGGTTTCCCTTTCAGCATCAGTGACCTCACGCGCGTGAACCGGCGAGTGAGCCTCGCGGGAGAGAGGGAGTAACAGTTGCCGATGAACACCTCGAATCGGGTCTGAGCTTCCACCCGGTACCAAGATCTGCACACTAATGACACCGCGTTCCGATCGCATCTCGAGGTCAAGAACACCAGCACGTTCTCAAGAACGTTCTCCAGGACGTGGTCTGGACACGGCGGTTGAGACACCGGAGAAGAGGAAGTAGAAGATTTGCAGCTCCGGGACTTGTTCGTCGTCGTTGAGAGTGGATCCAGCTTGAGATCCGATGGATCCTCTGCCATACTACAACCTAAGTTCAATTTGATAAAAAAAAAAAACGAATTCTCCGAATAAAAAAAGATCTCTACTTTCTTCTTTCTCTACCCCTCATTCTTCACAACTCGGATTCAGACAATACGGCCGATATGTAAAAAGAAGCTTTGTCTTGCTGTTTGCTCCTCTCTCTCTCTTCCCACTTCACTTCCATTATTTGTAAGAGACTATTTCTTCACCCCCTAAAATAAAAATAAAAGTAAGAAAATATTTTAGTTTCTTTTAAATTTAGAGTTAATTGGCTCATACACCCCAAATGGGGGTCTATATTAGCCACTTGCCCATGATGGGACATATTTATTTTGTATGACCAAATTGCCCTTTTTTCTCTCTCTCTTCTTCCTTCCTGCATTTACATGTGAGTGTCTCCTTTTTTTTTTTTTTTTTCATTTCTCTCCTCTTATCATTTTCATAATGAATTACATGCAAATAAATATGTTAAATATTTTTGAGTTCAATTTGATTCTTAAATAATAGTTAATACATAACACCTCTATTAAAAATATATAATTTTTAAATGTGTTGGTTGTTAACAAATATTGTAGATGTTAAAGAAGTATTCATATTTGGTGTTGATATTAGAGAAATACATACAATTAAATTTTAAATTTCATTATTTTTTTCATAAGTGGCTTTGAATCCTCCATTTTTTTGATGATATCAATTTTCTGGGTTTTAGATTCGACGTCGTGTTAGCGGTTAACAAATATTGTAGACGTTAACAAAAGTGTTAATTGTTAACAATTATTTTTACGCTTCGCGTTAATAAATATATTCGCTGTTAACAAATATTGTAGACGTTAACAAAAGTATTAACTGTTAACAATTCTTTTTACGCTTCGCGGTAATAAATGTGTTGGCTGTTAACAAATATTGTAGACGTTAACAGAAGTGTTATATGTTAACAAATGTTTTTACGCTTCGTGTTAATGAGAGGAAAGAGAAAGGGTATTCTCGGCATTTCCTTGCCAAATGGTTATGTCAGTGTTCTTTATGTCAAATCAATGGTATTTTATTAATTTGAGCTTCAAATATGGGTAGTTCACTAAATCACTCTTAAATTTACCTCCACCTACTTGATATTAGACTTGACAAAGGCAAATGTTTTTTTTTTACTTTAAATTTACGTCCTTCAACTATTTTTTCAAGCCCCTCTATTTTCTCTCTAAATTTTTTAAAGATAGGAGTTGTTTTACTTCTGTTCGTTGAAATTCATTTTTCTTATATTTCCGCTTGGTTGGTTTCTCTCTTTCTCTGGCATGTTGGTGGTTTCTTAAACCGGTTGGTCGGCGTTTTGATTATATAACTAACTTTTGAATGAATCCATTCCTGTTTATTTTTATGTTTTGATATGCACTTCTCTCTGTTTTTTTTTTTTAAGTTTCTTTTGTGATTTGGTCTTCAAAAAATCTGAGGCGGAGGAGACAAGATGGAAGCTATCAAGGTTTTCTCTAGAATGTACACTTCTACGTCCATTAAAAACATAATCGGAAAGAGTAGAAGACAAAAGGCAAACTCAGAACAAGAACAATGCATTATTGACCCAACTGACAATCAAGCAAAAGAAATGCCTAAACTATAATCAAAACGAAGCGGAGGAGCATTCGTTGCAACATACATATTACAAGACACATAACTGTACATAATCTGAAAACAAGTGGTATCCTAAGTTCGTCTCTGATACCCTTCTTATGTGTTCCCTTTAAATGTATCTGTTTTGTTTTTGTAGCCAGGCTTGTAGAATTCAATACCAAGACTAACAAATAATGCTGTGATGCAACTTTCAGAAGATGTGGAAATGCAACAAAAACTAATAATACTCTACAGAGGAAAATGAGTATCAACAATTTCGATGATGCAAATTGGGTATTTACTAATCGTTTGTTTATAGTATAGCATATTCGTCAATCAAATTGTAAATCTATTGTAACCAAATTGTATGTATATTTTACATACATGAGTATTTCATTGTTTTTATTTTACTTTATATGAAAGGTAGAGAGATTTATATTTCAAAGAAGACTTAGTTACAAAAAAAAGTACAACTAAAACTAAATAAAAAATATTTGTAGTTACATTTTTATGTGTTTGGATATATCTTCTCTTTTCCAAAGAATCATGATTGTTTTAAAGCTTCCAACTACTTTGCTTTAGTGGAGTCAATTCTAGGGCTGCCCTTAACCACAAATGCACTATACAAGCAAAATTATAAACCACTGATAGACAAAATCAGAAAAGAATGTTTTATGGACAAACAAGAGTTTATCATTTGAGGTGATTGCAACTGATCAAATCAATAATTTTAAGCACTATCAATGACTTTACAAACCTATAGATCAAACTATTTATACTATGCTAACGGGATCGTAATATCTCTACATTCTAATTTAAAAGGATTTGTGCAATTGTACTTTTTTTTTTTTTTTTGTAAAACGTGTAATTGTACTTATTTTGTAAAACAAATACAATTGTTAAACAAAATAAACAATTTATTAAAATATGAACCTTACTAAGCCCATGACCCATGTTACATGGATATGCTGCATCAAAATCATACACATAAAACAGAAGTTTTTCGTGATTCTGTAAATTTTTTTGCTATTAGTCATATTTGGAGATTATTCACTTTATCTGATTCTATGTGATTATCTTGAACTCAACATTATCTATTGTATCATGGTTCTTTTGGGATGTAAGTTTGATACTAAAAGGTCTTAGATTTGGAGAAAGCTCCTCAAAATAAGAGATTTGGCTTATCAGTTTCCAGGATTGAAATTTGGAATGGAAAGAAAACTTTCTTATAGTTCGATGATTGATTGAATATGGAAAAATTCATTGATATAACTGGAGCAGCAAGTGCTCGCTATCTTGGAATTGCTTGTAATGTCAAGGTTAGTGATGTGGTTTCGAGTGGTAGGTGAAATGCAAGAGGACAAAGCAGTAGAAATTTTTATAACTTTGCATGATAGGATTAACACAAAGATTGTTCCCAACAAAAACTCAGGTGACGATATCACTGATCCTATGGAGACACAGCCCATACATCAATAAGGATAATTTTTCCAAGGTTAAAACTTGGGAAAAAAAATAAGAAGAAACGCGAAAGGTGGGTTGGAGCAAATAAACAGACACAGGGGAGAAAATTTAGACTCGTGATCACTCGTTTTTTTTTTTTTTTGAGCTTGTCTATATTCATTCCTACACAGTAACACAGTATTTGACAAGGTTGCAGAAAGGTTACTTGGAAAGAGAATCAATCCTGATTGGTCCAACATGCTGGTCATGCTATAAATGGGAACAGTAAATAGGCATCAGCAAGAATATCAAGGGACAAAACAAATGATTATCCTAATCAAAAAAGTGGTTAAGAACATAATCTCCTCTCTCTCACGGTTTAAAAACAAATGACAAACACAATGTGGTTGGAGCTGATAGGAACATAAAGATCTTCGTCTAGAAACTAGTGAATGTTACAATTACTCTCTGAATGTTTTATTGATCAGTAAATTTGAATTTCATCAAAAATATACAGTATATATATCTAATTCAGTGTCTGCTACAAAAATTATTAAAAAAAAAAAACATTTAAAATAGTGTCACAAATAATGGAGGTGAAGTGGGGGAGGAGAGAGACCAAACAGCAAAGACAAGCTTTCTTTTTTACAAATCGGCCCTCCTTTTGTCTGAATCCGAGTTGTGGATGAGGAAGAGAGAAAGAACAAGGGAGATCGAAATTCTTGTTTTTGATCAGTTGAAACTTGTTGTATTATGGCAGAAGATCCCTCGAAGCTAAAGGATCTCAAGCTGGATCCACTCTCCGCCAAGTCCCGGAGCTGCAAATCTTCTCCGGTGACTCAACCGCCGTGTCCAGACCACGTCCTGGAGAACGTTCTGGAGAACGTGCTTGTGTTCTTGACCTCGAGATGCGATCGGAACGCGGTGTCATTAGTGTGCAGATCTTGGTACCGAGTGGAAGCTCAGACCCGATTCGAGGTGTTCATCGGCAACTGTTACTCTCTCTCTCCGGCGCGGCTCACTCGCAGGTTCACGCGCGTGAGGTCACTGATGCTGAAAGGGAAACCGAGGTTTGCTGATTTCAACCTGATGCCTCGTGATTGGGGAGCTAAGTTCACTCCTTGGGTTGTTGAAGCAGCAAAGGCTTACCCTTGGTTAGAGAAAGTTTGTTTGAAACGGATGTTTGTTACTGATGATGACTTGGCTCTTCTCGCTGAGTCGTTTCCTGGTTTCAAGGAGCTTGTTTTGCTTTGCTGTGAAGGTTTTGGGACTAGTGGTATCGCTCTTGTTGCTAACAAGTGCAGGTTAACTACTTCAGATCTTTCTCTTCACTCTATAGATTCGTTTTTGGAAAGTAAAGTTTTACATCTTTTTTTTTCAATTGATATGTTTCAGGAAGCTGAGAGTACTTGATCTGATAGAGTCTGAAGTGGCGGATGACGAGGTGGATTGGATCTCTTGTTTTCCCGAGGGTGAAACCACTCATCTGGAGTCTTTGTGTTTTGACTGTGTGGAGTCACCTATCAATTTCAAGGCCTTGGAGGGGCTTGTGCTTAGGTCTCCTTTCTTGAAGAAGCTTAGAACCAACAGGTTTGTTTCCCTTGAAGAGCTTCATAGGCTAATGATGCTTCGAGCCCCGCAGTTAACGAGTCTCGGGACTGGCTCATTCAGTAGCAGCACACACGATGAACAACAACCACTGGATTTTACATCTGCATTTCGTGCTTGTACATCGTTAGTTTGTCTCTCAGGATTCAGGGATTTGACGGCAGAGTACCTNGAACCAACAGGTTTGTTTCCCTTGAAGAGCTTCATAGGCTAATGATGCTTCGAGCCCCGCAGTTAACGAGTCTCGGGACTGGCTCATTCAGTAGCAGCACACACGATGAACAACAACCACTGGATTTTACATCTGCATTTCGTGCTTGTACATCGTTAGTTTGTCTCTCAGGATTCAGGGATTTGACGGCAGAGTACCTTCCAGCTATCTCTCCAGTTTGTGCTAATCTCACCTCTCTCAACTTCAGTTATGCTAACATCTCTCCTGACATGTTCATCCCCATCATTAGCAACTGTCACAATATCCGAGTCCTATGGGTACCTTACCTTATTTATACTATTGCATTGAATGTCTTGTGTTCATTATTGTTAGTGAACATGCGTATCTTATCTCATCATTCATGCAGGCTCTTGATTCTATATGTGATGAAGGGCTTCAGGCAGTAGCTGCAACCTGCAAGGAGCTCTGTGAGCTTAGGGTCTTCCCTTCCGATCCTAGTGAAGACAGTGAAGGTCCTGTCTCGGGCTTAGGCCTCCAAGCCATTTCAGAGGGTTGTAAGAAACTAGAATCCATCCTCTACTTTTGCCAGCGGATGACTAATGCAGCTGTCACAGCCATGTCTGTTAATTGTCCCCAGCTTACCGTGTTTAGGCTTTGCATTATGGGTCGCCATAGGCCTGACCACGTTACAGGGGAGCCAATGGACGATGGGTTTGGGGCCATTGTCAAAAACTGCAAGAAACTAACCCGACTTGCAGTATCTGGATTGCTAACAGACCAAGCTTTTAGCCTTATAGGAGAGTATGGGAAACTGATCCGTACGCTGTCTGTAGCTTTTGCAGGGGACAGTGACATGGGTCTGAGATATATCCTGGAGGGTTGTCCTAAACTAGAGAAGCTTGAGATCAGGGACAGTCCCTTTGGGGATGTTGGACTGCGCTCTGGTATGCATAGGTATAACCATATGAGGTTTGTATGGATGTCCTCATGTAAGTTATCCCCTGGAAGCTGCAGGGATCTTGCTCGCGCTCTGCCTAGTGTAGTGGTGGAGGTGTTTGGGTCTGATGACGACGATGATGAAGACAACAACAATGCAGATTTTGTGGAGACATTGTACATGTATCGGTCACTTGATGGCCCAAGGAAAGATGCTCCAAAGTTTGTAACAATTTTATGAAGCAGCCAAAGCTTTTAGAGAACTAGAAGAAGAGAATGTGTGTGTTGTAAGTGCTTCTGCATTATTGTTTTTAGTACCATTTGATTTTGATGGTTCTTTTTTTTTGTATTTGTCTTTGTACCAAGAATTATTGTGAGAATTAAAGAATGAGACGTTTATTATTGTCTTGTGTGGTAGGTTTTAATAATGTGTAATCAATCAAGAGAGAATTTGCAGCCATGTTCTGTCTACAAGAATTATTGCTTATACACTAACACTATAAATTAATCGTTTATGTTTTTTATTTGAAAACCTTTAGTCAAAAAGAACAAAAAACTTACTAATTATCTTGATTTTATGTTCATCTTAAACTTTACCAACTATTAAGCCTTTGCATTTGTTTGAGATGGAGTAAATATTCAACCTCGTCCTCGAGATAAATCAAAACAGAAAGACAAAACTATAGAACCAAAGACCAATTTCTGATTATTATTTATCCGCTAAAGACTTGTAGTGGTTGAACTAAGCAAGGTTTTTGTGGACAAAAGTGTAAAGGAAATAGATTTGGGCCTGATTGTCAGCCAGGCCTGTTATATGCCACATTATATGACCCATAATAAGTGCAAGAAACCAAGGTTAAATGTAATTTTAGTGTTTGTTGTTTATTGCAGATGATAAAAGATAGATGTATGGTCTAATATTCAACTAAACCATCCTTGCTTGGTTCTGTAAAATCCCCAAAAGGCAATTTTTCAAAATAAAAATTCAAATAATGTCTCTAAGAAAATTCAGAAGACAATTGTTAGAATAGCATGGATCTTTTCAAATAAACTTCCAAAAGTTCTTTTCCTAATGATACTGCTGTACAATTATACAAATAGATCATACAGGACATATACGTAATCCCCACCAAAAAAAATCGAATCATACTATAAACAGGTGTCGTATTAGTAGTAGTAGTATTAATTATTGTTCAAATCTACGAGAGTCGTATTAGTGTGAAAATAAAGTAAATAATGTTGACCCAAAACAAGGATTATGAGGTGTAAACCACCCAATAAAAGAAGTAGTCGCCAAACACGTCTCTTCTCTTTGGTCAAAAGTCTTCTCCTTTAGCCATATTTTGTAGAGTTTAGTTAGGTGTTGTGGCCGGTGTGTGTGTGTCTCGTCCGGTCACGACCACCCACGAAGGCACTTCACCCTCAATTCTCGCCTTTTCCCATTTGCAGTTACTAAGAAAAAAATAACTAAAGCTCTCTTCTTTTTTATTATTTTTTTTTTTTCCAAAAGTAAAAGACATTCCTATTGATTAATTAATTATTTTCCATCGTCGTCTCTATCTATCTACTCTCTTTGTGTATTTGTCATTAAACATTTCAAAAGGAATCATCTAATCACACTACTTTCTTCTCTCTCTCTCTCTATCAACTTGAGAGAAATGCAGTGAGATTGATTTTTGAAAGTGTTGTGTGGTAAGCAAAAGAGAGATGGTGGTAAGAAAAGTAGGAAAGTATGAGTTAGGTAGAACAATCGGTGAAGGCACTTTCGCTAAAGTCAAGTTCGCTCAGAACACTGAGACCGGTGAGAGTGTCGCTATGAAAATCGTGGATCGTAACACTATCCTCAAACGCAAGATGGTTGATCAGGTTCTGTCCCTCTCTTTCTCTCTCTATTCTGTCTGAGATTTGAGATTGTGTCTCTTTGAGATTTTTATTTTTTAATTTAAAATCAGATTAAGAGGGAGATCTCGATCATGAAACTCGTTCGTCATCCTTGTGTTGTTCGTCTCTATGAGGTATAAGGTCTTATACTTTATAGTATAAAGTTTATATCTTTGCTTGGTTTGATTGTTTGCTGTTTTAGGTTTTGGCAAGCCGGACTAAGATTTACATCATCTTGGAGTATATTACAGGTGGTGAACTGTTTGATAAGATTGTGAGTTGCCTTACCTTAACTCTCTCAACTCAACTTTACTTGATGTGAATGATGATGGAAGAAGACTTTGTTTCGTGTTATAGGTTCGTAATGGGCGTCTTAGTGAAGCTGAAGCTAGGAAGTACTTTCATCAGCTTATTGATGGTGTTGATTACTGTCATAGTAAAGGGGTTTACCACAGAGATCTAAAGGTTTGTTTCTTTTGCTTGCTGACAAATCAACAATTCTTTTCAAAACGATATCTGATTTTCAATTGTTTCTGCTTTTGTCAATTGCAGCCTGAAAATCTTCTCCTGGATTCTCAAGGAAATCTGAAAATATCTGATTTTGGACTGAGTGCATTACCAGAGCCAGTAATAGGAGTTCTCAGTTTATTGTTTTTGCTTTCAAACTGAATTGTTATCAGCTAATTATCTTATCTTTGATTTGAAGGGAGTTACTATCCTAAAGACAACTTGTGGAACTCCAAATTACGTTGCTCCTGAGGTAAATCAAATGTCACAGTGTTATGAAACATAGCTTTATGTATATATGATCTTCTCTGTTTTGGTGTAGGTTCTGAGTCATAAGGGTTACAATGGTGCCGTGGCAGATGTCTGGTCCTGTGGGGTCATCCTTTATGTTCTTATGGCAGGATATCTTCCATTTGATGAAATGGATCTACCAACTTTATACAGTAAGGCATGGGCTCTGCTATTATTGCTTTGTGAATATTATTACTTTCTCTTTTAAAGTGCCTTGTATCCGTTTCCCATTTTGAATAAAATCTCTCTGCCCAGTTTAGTTTGTCGAGTCCAGTTATCTACTTGATTGGATCTTAATATTCCCAGTGAAGAATTAGGCTTAAAAAGGGAATATCTACAGACATTTTGATAGGAAATTTTAATGACTTAAAATTATTATTCTCAACAGTTGGTAGAATCCATTTCTGTAAAATTTAACGTGTTATGTGCTTGTAAGTGATCTTTGTACTATGTTTCTAATAAGGTTTCCTTTTCTTTCCGCAATTTTTGCAGATTGACAATGCTGAGTTCTCTTGCCCTTCATATTTTGCCTTGGGAGCAAAGGCCTTGATCCGTAGAATTTTGGATCCAAATCCTGAAACTGTAAGTTTTGGATTCCCTTGCAGAAAGCTTTGCTTGAATCTCTTTCAACCACAGCTTCTGTGTTTTTGAGATGTATGACATGGTTAAAAAACAGCAGCTCGAAAGAATAGATACTAGCTCACTCTACAATATTTGACCAATCATATCATTCTTATCTAAACTTGAATAGACCTAAAAGATTTAGCATATTCTTCCGTTACTAGCCTGGATTTTTGTGGAAGGTCTCTATACAATATGGATAATCTTCCAATTGAAAGCCTTACATTACATAGTTCTCAAGTGAAGTTGTTCATTCTCAAGGTCAAAATTCTGACAGATGTAGCCTTGCTCTCTTATATTTGCAGCGAATTACAATTGCTGAAATCAGGAAAGATGAGTGGTTCGTAAAGGATTACACTCCTGTACAAGTTATTGATTACGAACATGTAAACCTGGATGATGTATATGCTGCTTTTGATGATCCCGAGGTAGGATTTTCTTGGCACGATTCTTTGTCCCCCATTTGATTGCTGTTGGCCATTGTGTATATAATAAAAACGTGTATTTAATTGTCTATGTGACAGGAACAAAAAGATGCACAGGTTGGAACAGGAGACACGGGTCCACTGACTTTAAATGCATTTGACTTAATTATTCTATCTCAAGGCCTGAACCTTGCAACTCTTTTTGACCGTGGAAAGGTAACAATACTGGGCATGAGCTGCTCGGTGCATTCCTCTTCCTTGTTCAGTTGTTTTTTCTTTTTATCATTTCACTCTATGTTATACAATGATTGCATTAATCTTTGAAGTCTATTGATAGGACTCCATGAAGCATCAGACAAGGTTTATCTCACACAAGCCAGCAAACGTGGTTCTTTCAAGCATGGAAGTTGTGTCGCAGTCCATGGGCTTTAAGACGCACATTCGCAATTACAAAGTAAGAAAGTAGAGTAAGAGTCTGTTAGGATTCTCATCTAAAGTAAATTGCGTCATTGTTATCTGTAGCTTAATAACTCTCTCAGCTCATCAAGCACCTAACTGATGTTAACCCCATTTCACTTTTCAGATGAGAGTAGAAGGATTATCTGCAAATAAGTCGTCTCACTTCTCCGTCATTCTAGAAGTAAGCTTCTCAACATTTACCTACTCTCACACCCCTCAAAACCAAGCCATCTTTTTTGTTTGCTTTGGTCTCTGCATGTCTCACTAAACATTTTGAAACCTGAAGGTCTTCAAAGTTGCACCAACATTTCTCATGGTAGACATCCAAAATGCAGCAGGAGATGCAGAAGAATACCTCATGGTTAGTAGCCGAAGAATGAAAAACCATTAGGGTCACCTTTGAGCTTGGTGCGACTCATTTCAGAATACTAATAAAAACAAGTCTGATTATGTTTTGCAGTTCTACAAGACGTTTTGTGGCAAGCTTGATGACATCATCTGGAAGCCGCCAGATTCATCCGTGAGAAATCGAGTCACGAAGACCAAGATTAAGAGACGTTGAATCCATGTAGTATTTAAAGCAGAGCTCTCTGTGTTCTTAACTGCTTTAGTCTGAATGGTTATGTACAAGCTTGTTGATTTGGGTTTTAATCTATAAGGACATATAAGAGTGTACATTGTTTGACAAAACTTCCAACAATTTCTGATTTTTGTATGCATTATGGCTCTGCTACTCATAATTACAAGACTATGCAAACATCCAAGTGGATAAGTGAAAGCCATGCACCATTTATCAGTTTGTCTCCTCTCTATTTATTTTACTCTTTGTTCTCGTCTCTGAATCATCTCATCTTTATATTCAGTTCTTGTTTCGACGAAAAACGTTCAAGAGGTCAGTCCAAAGCCAAGTTAATCGCAAATTAATCATTTTAAACCACTATTGTGTAAAACTATAGTAGATTATCACTATTTTATAGTGAAAGAATAATGTTATATAGCTAACTATCTAGTCACTATATACATCTTTTATCTTTTTGACTCCGGAAAATGGGATTATCTCCTGAAACCAAGAAAAACGTTGTGCATCTCCGAGGTCAACTATACAATACATCAAAACATCAAATTTAATGTAATTCAATCTTGAGTAAAGTACTAGATATTTCAGCATTTTATCAAATTTGATGTTTTGTGAATATTATTCATCTCACCAAATATTAAAATAATAAAAATATAAGTAGATTTATTATTATTACTTGTTTTAATTTATAATTAAAAATGAATATATCATACTATTTTATTTTCACATTTCTAAAGATTAAAATATGATTTTAATTTATAATTTTCATTAATAATATAACTAAATAGTTATTATCAATGCCAACAAAATAAAACACATTTTATTTTGAATGTATTAAATTTTAATTTCAACTAATATTTTACATAAATAAATTAGTATATAAAATTAACCAAAATAAAATGAATATTGAAAATTGATGTAAAAAAATGAATATTGAAAATTAAATAGTAAAAAGTTGAAATTATCAAAATTTGATAAATATTGAATATAAATCCGAATGTGACAAGTATAATTAATCAATTACAAATAATTAATATATTAAATTAAAAGGTTAACAATATGTAACTTTGTTTTAGTGCAGAATTTAGTTTGATGGCTTTAAAATGAAAAATAAAAGTTAACAATAAAATATTAAATTTAGTGTTATTTTAGTGTTAAACTTGGTGTTGTGGTGGGAATTGCAGTAATATCGCTTTATTTGTAACTAAATTTTAATAGCAAACTATTATTGTATTATAGTGAAATATTACTATGTTATAGTGAACTGTTCATGTGTCTTAACTAAGAGCATATTTATAGCAAAGTTCTTAAAGTATGGGTTCTTATCAGGATTAAGAAACCGTCTCTTAACTTTCAACTAAAAAAATTAAGATCCAGTTTTTAAATAAGATATTTAAGAGCAAATTCTTCTTTTTTTTTTAGTTGAAAGTTAAGAGATAGTTTTTTAATTCTGCTAAAAATTCATACCTTAAAAATTCTGCAATAAACATGCTCTAACCATTTACATTGTATTAACCTGCTGTCCGTTACCACCATATAGCAACAAGAGAAGATTTCAAATTTTTGTAAAACCCTAAGCTAATGGATGATAGACGACATCACCAATACACTTATTCTCAATTTTTGACATCTTCAACAGTGTCGCTGTTGTGTCTCTCAATTTGCCTTTTCTTCTGCAGAGCAACTTATGTTTTTTAGAAAAATTCATTACCTAAGCAGCACCATCATGTAAAAGTTCTTTTAGTTATGCGTTGCGGGTTTATTAATAAGTTTACACTAATAAAAAAAAAAAAAGAAGAAGAAAACACCACCATCACGAATCAACCATCCCACGTATTTCATAAAGTTTGTTCCAGCTACTAATGTACTATTCACTTGGGCATGAATAATGATATTCGTCGACCGAGATATATAATTAAAAGTAAAATGCTATTGGGTTTGACATTTTGTTATCTTAATGTGAGAATAATATTTTGCATTTATTCACGTAGGCTTGAATCATTTTATTCGACAATCCTGGTATAAAACTAAAAGTGATTATTGGATTTGACATTTTGTTATTCCTTTAATGCGAGAATAATAACTTTACCATAATGTTTTTGACATTCGAATCAAATCTTTCACTAAATAACTTACCGAGTTTTTGCAGGTGCCCATCAGATGGGAACCAACTAATGGGAGTGATATTTGTTATTGTTGATTAATAATTTTGAAATCTTTGATGTATAATGTTTTTAAATTTAAAGCTAGCAGATCGGATCTAAAGTTTAGAGTGCCATAAATACTCAGGTTAATTTTAATAACAAGTTGAAAATTTAGAGACCAACATAAATATTTCATCCGAATGTGGCAAATTAAACCGGTTCCTGAAAGCTGACATTTTACTGACTTCAGTTGATTTAGCTTGGTCAATCCGCTTGAACAATAAAAAAAAAGCTTTGGTCAATTCGCAATATGTCATTCAATGACATAATATGAGTTTCGAACTCCCAAGAAGATTGAACAAGTGGTTTCAAAACTACTAAACTAAAAGAAACCACTATACTAGATAGACAAAATCTAGAAAAATGCTAGTTGTATATATATGGTTTGAATTATTAGTGTATATACCAACTGGAATACAAACTTATAAACCTAACTCAACGTCCAAGAAGATTGTTGCAACCAAGACCACCATTGAGGTTTGAAAAACTTGGCATACGTTTATGAATTTTATTTCGTCAAAAAAAACAAATTCTGAAGTGGAATTGTAATTACAAAAGTCTATATTGAATGTTGTTGAAAAAATGTCGACAAAAAAAAGAATGTTGTTGAAAACATGTCACCTAAGGGTTTAATAGTCTTGATAATGTTTTCAAATGTTAAACTAATATAACCATTGATATGGAAAAATCTTATATAACCATATTAATACATCATCATGAGTCATGAACTCCATAAATCATCGTCGTCATTACATTTATTATATTATTTTATGTCAACCTAAAGTGGTCATCGCTCTTCTGGCTTCACAAATTTAAAGTTGTTTAAGACTTAGGGTTGAGCAAAAGACCAGGACAACTTGTACTGCACAAGTTGGTCCATATATAACACCATAAACATATACAACCAAGTAGCTGCAGCAACTTGGTACTTCAAGCTTCGTATTATTATATATCTATATATACTTATACATATATTTGTATAATTTCTTTTTGTTTCTCTTGACTGTGACGACTAAGAAATTCGACACTAGTAACAATTTGAGATTATTTTTCTTTACTTAAACTAGTGCAACTTACAACACATCTTTCTATGATTCGAACTAAAGTTTACATATTGCTTTTGCAAATTAAAATGATATACTATTTAAGAAATTATTAACAATCATATATTCCGTCAACTAAACTATATATATGTGTGGTTCTTTACAAATTCATATGGCAAGTTGCTTCATGTATGGCCTACTTGTGCCACATTTGGTTTAATATTGGATTTTAAATTCCGCCTACACAGTGGCTGAAGAAGCCACCCATATATACATTATTAGACATCACTTTGTTGTATTGACTCATTATCTAGGCAAATGTATATACGAAAAGATTTGCACAAAATGAAAATAAACAGAAGCAGTATATGTATAGACGAAACTGGACTAAATTCAGTTATATATAACAAAACTTTTTTAGCATATCCAATAAAAAACTTTAAATAGTACAGAAATTAGGTTTTTCGCCAATATCTGGATCAACATCTAAAAAGACGAGTAGTATACCCAACAAAATTCAAATAAATAAACCTAACAATGAAATATTATATAATATATAGTATATGATAACACGTATCAGTTTTATGGGTATAAATGTTAATATATATGATAACACGTATCGGTTTTGACGGATTCGTAACCATATATCTAAAAGAAAGTGATTACATCGATTTCTTAATATCAGATTGATTCTCGATCGTATCTTACATGTATGTTGGATAACACATCCACCTCAAAAGACATCATCATGAAAAAAGTCACAAACAAGGATTGTGGAATATTTGATTTTAGATTACAAGTCTTAATGTTGTAGGTTCATAAAAGGTCATATTACCTATCATGTTGCACAAGAGAAAATTACAACGTTGTATTAAAAGTCAGTTGATTCTAGAAACGATTTAACTTTCAGTATACTATTAAAAAGCGATATTCGTACCATATGCATTTTAGAAATGCAAAAGAATTTTGATAGATAAATATATTTGGTTAAAGAATATATATAAATACAGATCTAGAAAATGGAATTTGTGAACAGAATGTGAATCAAAACATGAAAAACAAAAACATGCATTTAGAGAAAACACACAATTAAGGCAAATACTCATTTTAAAAATTTGTATATTACAATTTTTTTTTAAATGAGTATTTGCCTTAATTGTGTGTTTTCTCTAAATGCATGTTTTTGTTTTTCATGTTTTGATTCACATTCTATTCACAAGAAGTTTTTTTGTGAAAAGCGTGGATATGAGATCTGGTTAAATGATTACAAGAACTGGAAACAATTGATGTCAAAACCTTCGTTGAAATAGGGAGGAACTGGAAGGAACCAAAAGACTTTCATTTGGGAGTCATGGGAGCGATGGACCTGCTAGGTATATAACGAGCTCCACCGTGATATATTGCAACTGGTCTTCTCAGTTCTCAGAGAGAACTTCTCACCATTTATCACTTTGACGATATGGGTTTTTGGGGACAATTCAAGTGTGAGATCCCACTCCAACAAGACTAGTTAGTTAGACCGAAATGTATATCTACATATGTTTCTCCAAATATTTAAAACTAACGTGCTCACGAAACACTCAAACCCTTAAGTATGGTCTCTGTACAAATCTCTTATGAAAGTGGATATATAGTATGCATCAACAATGACTCTGCAAAATGGGTAAATTGGTCGATCACATTCGTACAGTTTCTAGATGAGTGTTTGGCTACTTACCTCATTCACATCATCACATGGAATAACATGGTGAGAAGATAACTTGTTGAACTGAGATTTGCGATTTAAGCTGTATATTACCCTCCTAATGTTATTGTAATGCATCACTACAAACAAAATAAATTGCAAAACATTTTTAAACCAAAAATGAATGCTATGAACGGCATTGTATATTAATATTATAGCGGTTCATTACGTTTTTATAATATTATTAATAAAAGGTTTAAATGATGTAAATGGTAT